AATTGTAAATATGTTTTTTTTTGGTAACCAAAACTTTAGTTACATCTTCTTACTTGTGTTCATTTTTTATTTTTTTCCCGTCATCTCAGAAGTTAGATCTGTACTTGAGAATTATTATTGGTTCAGTGGTTAAATAAATTTATTGGTGTACTAATATTTCTTGGTCAAGTTTTTTTTTTTCTTGATTTTTGATAAAGGTGAAGAAGAATATTTCAGGATTTATATGTGGTCTATGTTGAAACTAAGATTATGTAATAGTAATGCAGATTTTGTTTTATCATGTTGTCGGAAAAAATCTCAATACGGTAAATCATATGGTTGGTCGCCTTATGCAAAAATACATTAATACGAATTGCATAATTTTATAAGTTTTCTCTTTCAAAAAAAAAACAAATTGGGATACAATTAAGAATTTTAAAGATGCGTGGTCCTCACCTCAACCTCGGGCCTCCGCGACATCTAATATAATATTTTGTACTATACTCGTTGTTGGTTTTTGTATATTGGTATAAAGTTTTTTTAATTCCTAGGGATTGTTATTTTAAAGACTTTTAAAACAATAAAATTGTCCTAGGAACTTAAGGACATATATACCACTTTATATAACCCAAGTGGTTTGGAAGAAAAAAGATAACAACTGTTGTAAATTCAATTCTATTGGCCAGAACTAATAATGTGTTAATTTGGGTTGAGAGATTTATGAACCCAACAAAATGTGTAGGAATCATAGTCCAAACAAAAGTATTAACGTATGAAAACAGTGTGTTAAAAACCATTTAATCAACAACATGTATACTTTACCGGAATTGAATTTGGAGAGTAACATAAAACAATGTTATAAACTATAGTTAGCTACGTATCAATTAATATATTATGGTCATATATATTTTCATAGAACTAAAAGGAAAAAAATAATAATTAGTTTTTCTTTTCGTGTGAATAATAAATGTAAAGGCAGACTCTAGAGTTATGATTCGTCTTTCGTCACCGAACATATATATGGTAATGTATTCCTCCTTGGTTTTCGCCGATACGCAAGTTCAGTACTATACTATAATTCAAAAATTAGTATTGAAGTTTCATTTGCGGAACACAAGCAAACAATGCGCATTTTTATATATATATATACTTAATTTTATGGAATGTTGTTATGTGCACGTATAAGATTTACACATGCAAAAAAAAAAAAAAAAAAACTGGAAAAGAATGAATTAATTTGGACATTAAAAAGAAGAGAGCTTCGAATTTTAACTGGTAATGATTTCTCAAAATTGCAAATCCTTTACAGTTTTTATTGTATAAAGGGAGTTTTCATAGAGGCCAATTCCTGAAAACAAAAGCTCACACTTAAGAATTTAAAGTGCCAACCAAATAAATAGATTGTGGAAAAGATTTCTACGTATCTCTTCGGCCATGTAGTAATTAATTATCTGTGATAACGACCTATACATTGACATTACAATCAATACGATGACTATTTAATTTTTCTACAATCGTATTCGTATACCAATCTACGTTGACCTTAATTAGAGGCAACATTATGCACTATCCACGTTGACAGATATTTTATTAACCTCAGCAAATTAATAGCATGAATTATTGATGACAAAATGAAGAAATATCGATTTACTAATATATCCCAAAATTCAGATTTTATAAGTTTTCGTTCAAAGTTTATACCAATAAATTTATGCTTTAGTTTTAAAGCATGAAACTCGTTTGTGTTTGCAAGGGACCATACTAAATACAAGTCTAAAGACACAAGTTTTTCCGAAAAAGATAACTTTTAAAAAATCATATCTTTGTATAGAATTTTCAACATAAGAAACTAACGCATAGCTTACTACAATTTCCATCAAGGTTGTCTAATCATATATATTTTCAATACTAAATATCTTTTCATGATTCTGAAAAAATTATTGTTTTGAACTTTGATTTTTATGATATTTTCATAAACATACTATATTTTCCAAGAAACTTAGCTCTATAAAAAGAATACATACGATATGCTACAAAGTTCGATAAAAGAATAAACTCAGTAAACCCAACTAACATATATATCATACCAAACCAATATCGATACGTATCCTTAAAAGAACATTTGAAGAGTACTTATAAAGATGTAAGAAATAGTTTCCATATATGGTGTGATGTGATCATCATCTTGATCTGATGATGTAACGAGAGAGCTCCCAAAAACGTAATCCATCCAACGAACAAAACAACACTCGTGGGCATGGCCGCCCACATGGCACGCCGTTATCCAACTCTGACGAGTCTGAATCTTTTCTCAAAGTCTGGGACTTATTTACTACACACACAAAAGGACATTATCGTCAAAACACACACGACTTTTTACAGCTTGCCCCCACCCCACACCAACGTAGAAGTTTCAAAACCATGGGAGAAGGCTATTTACGTAATTTTTCGAAAGTGTTCGATATGGAGGGAAATGGCATATTCGCATATACCCCAAAGAATGATACTTAACGTGCAGTGGATATTCTATCAACATGTCATGGCCCATATCAGGGCCCATTTGGTGCCACGTCTTTTGTACGGCATCGGCCGACGTGGTCATTGTTGTGGATCTTGTTTGTTTCACTTCCACCCTTCTCGATGACTCGGCCACCCAAATTGTCTTGAATTGATTCTAGCCTTTAGTTCGATAGAACCGACGAGTTTTTTTTATTTATTTCGAATCTTCGATTATTATAATTCTTTTAGTGTCATACACTTAACACGAGCTTCTACTTATAGATTATAATAACTAATCTTAGTTAGGTCATATTTGTCTAGCTAATACAACAATGCCAGCAGAATAAAATTGCGATAGAATAAGAGAAAACTATAATATATTTGAGTTTTTACCTAATGAAAGCAAAACTTTATTCTCAATTATTCTTTTTATATTTTTTTTTGTTGTTGTAATTTTAAACATTTTTAGTGACTATTGATAAGCTCAATCGTGTTAGTACGTATAAATTTATATTTAAGATATGGAAATTTTGATGTCGACTGAAAATATGATTGTTTTGGCGTTTATATGCTTTTTGTTATTCAGAAATCTTGACATCCACACATATGGCTCTGGCTTACTTAATTAGTCTCATTACATTAGTCTTTTGGAAAATTTTATGACCACATGAAAACTATTTCTTCCATTTTCAAGATGTTCAGTAAGAAACAAAATATATAGAATAATCGGTGTACATCACTAACTTCTACGTGTGGATTGTGACCAAGACAAATGACTGTATAAATTAAACAAGTCCAGCTCGTAAGGCTCACGAATTTTATATTTCTAGGGCTGATATTTGTTATGATTCTAGGGCTGATATTTGATATGAGGAAATCAAAAACGATGCGATTTACAAAGAGTCAAGAGTCATTTTAGTGTTTTACAATTGTTTGTTTTCTTTATATTTTTATTGAGTTTGTTACACTAAGTTTCCTAATTTAGTAAAGCGAAAAAATAAAAAAAAAATTAGCAAGAAGAATTTGACTAATATGAAGATAACTACTACGGTTAAACAAAATTTATCAAAATATACTTGTGTACAACTCTAACTAAAATTAAAACAATGTGCATGGAGGTTTTGACTTTTTCGAAAACAATGTATCGAAGTAATTATACAAATAAGTTCTAATTGTAATTAATAATAATTTCTTAATTAATAATAAGAAGTATTCTTTAACATCTTTAATTTATAGTTAAATCTAGTTGGTCATGGTAGGATGTAGAACATACAAGAAGGAAATAAAGCGGCATCAAATTTTTGTAAATGATGTTTTGTTTGTTTTTATCATATGAGCCAAAGGATGTGAACTGCTTAAAATGTCGGAAGAGTCTCTCCATTTCCAAAATACAGACACAACCGAAGATTGAAAGGATAAGGAGTAGTATTTACTTTGTTCTGTATACTATTTCTTGGTTTTATATGAACAAAATTGATTATTGAGAAAACGAAACAACCATTAATTAGAAATATTTATTTTATCCATATCTTCAATTATTTTGCCTTTACTTGGATGTGTCCTTTTAAGTGACACATCAATGAACGATATACTTAGCCTCTTTGTTGTTTTATGAGCACTGATTGATGTAAATTCATCCTCTCTATCGACACTTTTTTTTTGTTTGTTTAATAATGCCAAAAGTTTGGGTATCTAGGAGGATCGAACGACGGACGTTTTATTTTAAAACTTAGACTTTGTTAAACCGTGGTCAGCAGAGTTTATCTACAAAAGAAATTGAATGAAAAAATTGGGTTATATATTTCTTGTTTATGCACTAATCATCAAGCTTAAGAGATATGCACATTGATTTGCAGTAATCATGCTACAGCCTACAGCCCCATGTCTTAAATATTGGCATGATCCATGTGTAATCGGTCGTCATGCTCCTGCGAACTGTTGCATGTTCTGTATGTGGTCAATGTTGTACATTCATCTAGATATCTATGTAAGTCCAACAACTAACCTAGTCCCTACCTTGACCCATTTTGTTTATACGATACTAGAAGCTCCTTGTATGGTAACATTCTTGTGATCTTGTGCATATATAACATTTATATGTACAGTACAAGGATTCTGAATAGTTTCTGGCTATTTGTTTTCAGTTTGGAGCTAAGGCCCAATCTTCTCCATAAATTAATTCAAGCCCATTTGTATACACAATCACACTTTTGTGTGCACACATTATCCAACTCACAACATATTTGTAAAATAGAGAATTATCTTCAGTCTCGTTTTACTAAAACCTAAAGAATAATTGAAAGAGTTTTTTTTGCATTAAAAGAAAATCAGAGAATATTTGTGAATATTTCTTCCACACATATCAAAGAGAAATATATTTTTTTATCCAAACCTTTGATATCAAAACATGAGACAACAAGCGCAAGTATTATTAGCAACCACAAAGCAATCATCTCAAACTCTATAAAAAAACAAAAGACAAAACCTTCGATTATTTCGAGCACAAACGTCACTTTATTTTGTGGTTTACATCTTCTTCATCATCTCCATAAGTAGCTTCATCTTTTTCTTTCTCTCTCTCTCTTCTCTTTCTCCTCCTCCTCTCTTTCCTTCGTCCACCGTTAGCTATGGCTTCGGACACGTTGGACAAGCTGGTTGTGTTCTTGGCCAAGAGAGACGGAATAGACAAGCTTGTGAAGACATTCCAATATGTAGCCAAGCTCGGGTGCTGGCACGTTGAAGCCACACGACCCGAAGCTGCCGATAGGTTCAAGAAGTGGGAGGTCGCCTCCGGTCTCAGCCGCAAAGCCTTCAGGTCCCCGCATCTTTCTAATATCTATCACTTTGTCTACACAGTGGCATCATCGTAAATATAGTCTAATAGATGAAATGAAATGAAATGTTTGCTTTATTTCACTTCTTGATTAATAACTTATCTCATCTACCAAATTTGAATAGTGACTAATACTAATACACTTTATACTAAATGAAAACAAGTACCATTGAATTGATATATAAACACAATAGTAATGGCTGTTAACTTATGGTATGATTATGCAAAACAGGACCGGGAGATCTCTCACGGGGTTTAATGCGCTGAGACGAAACCCCGGGGCAACCCCGACGATCCGTCTCCTGGCAGTCCTAGCCAATTCAGGAGAAATGGTTTACTTCTTCTTCGATCATTTTCTTTGGTTATCAAGAATTGGTTCATTAGACGCCAAGCTCGCCAAGAAAATGAGTTTCATCTCAGCTTTTGGCGAATCTTTCGGCTACACTTTCTTCATCATCATTGATTGCATCTTCATAAGGCAGAGAATCGAATCCTTGAAAAGACTCCGGTATTCGTCAGATGAACCAAAAGATGAAATAAGCGCAAAAATCAGCGAGATTCGGGGCGATATAGTGATGAGGTTGATGGGGATTTCTGCCAACATTGCGGATTTGATTATCGCATTGGCGGAAATTCAACCAAATCCGTTCTGTAACCACACGCTTACACTCGGAATAAGCGGTTTAGTTTCGGCTTGGGCCGGTTGGTATAGGAATTGGCCTACCTCGTGAGATGTTATAAAATCCTAATGAGGAAATGTATGTTGTTTCGAATGAACATAGCAAACGTGTAAAAGTTTCTTGAAATATATGAATACTTCTATTTTTACACCGTGTCATATGTCGAAATTGATATCAAACTACAAAACTAAGGTTATGGAAATGTAACATTTATATACGTAAGAGAGCATTTTTGAAATTCATGAATCTTGATAACTGTAAAAAATAACTTCCCACTCTCTCACTCTCGTTGAGGAGACGGTTATCTTAAAATATTTTCAAAAACTCATTTTCATCAAGAGTCGTTACCTTCTCGTAATATTTATAGTTTTTAGAAAACGTTTCATAAGACATACAAAAACAGAGAGAAAAGAGTTAAAGAAGATAGAAAAAATACTAGAACGAGATTGATGAGAAGAATGATTCCAACATCGTTTTCAAGTAAGTTTCAAGGAGTAATTAGTATGAATGCGTTGAGATGTTACGTATCTGAGTTCATCTCTACCTTCTTCTTCGTCCTCGCTGCCGTTGGTTCCGTCATGGCTTCAAGTAAAATTTTTACTCTGTTTGCTATATATTTCTGATGAAAGTTTTAATTTTTTTCTCTAATGGCTAAAGGAAAAAACTGTGAAACTGTGTTTTTTAATCAGGGAAACTGATGGCGGGTGATGTGTCGGGTCCTTTTGGTGTATTAATACCGGCGATTGCGAATGCGTTTGCGTTGTCTTCGTCTGTTTACATCTCTTGGAACGTCTCTGGTGGCCATGTTAATCCGGCGGTTACGTTTGGTATGGCGGTTGCTGGTCGGATTAGTGTTCCGACCGCTATGTTCTATTGGACTTCTCAGATGATTGCCTCTGTTATGGCTTGTCTTGTCCTTAAAGTAACTGTCGTCGAACAGGTGATCAAAGCATTGTTGTCTTACACGGTTTAGTTCACTTTTTGTCTGATTTGACTTCTTTCTTGTTGTCTGATTTGTGTTTCGTTATATTGTTGTGTTTGAATTTATCAGCACGTACCGATCTATAAGATTGCCGGAGAAATGACTGGATTTGGAGCATCGGTTCTTGAAGGTGTTTTAGCGTTTGTCCTGGTTTATACTGTTTTCACGGCTAACGATCCGAGACGTGGTTTACCTATAGCCGTAGGACCTATATTCATAGGGTTTGTTGCGGGAGCCAATGTTCTAGCCGCTGGTCCCTTCTCTGGAGGGTCTATGAACCCGGCGTGTGCCTTTGGGTCAGCGATGGTTTACGGGAGCTTCAAGAACCAAGCTGTGTATTGGGTTGGGCCTCTGCTTGGAGGAGCCACAGCTGCGTTAGTGTATGACAACGTGGTGGTTCCGGCAGAAGATGATCGTGGTTCATCTACTGGAGATGCCATTGGTGTGTAATGACTTGTTTTTTTTTTTCAACTGTTTTTATATGTTGAATTGTGTTGTTGTAGAGCTTTTTTAGTTTTCAGTTTCTGGAATGTTGTTGACTTGATTGATGCTTAATTTATTAAATACTACTTTAGTAAATTTCATTACAAACAATTTTCTATTTTACCATTATTACATATGTATAACTCTAGTTTGAGCAAACTTAGCCAACACTTTTGCAACTAAACAAAATTTCAGAAGTACAATTTGGGTCTTACTTCTTCTTCCTTATCGGTTAACTCACGATACTGATACCATTCAGTACCTGAAGCACCAATCGGCAATGTTGGTCGTAGAAATACTTCAACTGGTTTTGGCACACTGACACAGATACGTATATCATGCTCTGCTTCATTGAGATCTCTAGGTTCTGTTCCTCGTGTTTTGCGGATTGGTTCAATTGAAATCCATCCCAACCCGGAAATCGCCACATCACTAGCCGGTCTGAGCGAGAAGTGTATCAACGTTAGATGATGAGCATTTGTTTTAAGAAAGATATATAGGAATAGGAAATCTATATATCACCTTTTTGAATCAATGATTTCAATTTGGAGTAAACGGTGAGATTGTAATCCTTTCCATTCTTGAATCTGATCTTTCCCTGATGGAGGTGTCAGAAGCACACCCAGTTCTTTCTGCAGAACAAATGGGTTTCAAAGTAAATGGTAATAAGAAGATTGGATTTGTCTTCATAATAGCTACAAAGTTGATACTGCTGGTGAAAGAACTTGCCTGGTAAAAGTCAGTCGCTGATTTGGTTGGTACAACATGAATATCAAGAGCCTTTGGTCCATAGAATGTGAAACATGTTTCTGGTAGAGCCTGCAATATGTCAAGTATGTAATGGTTTAAAAAAATTCTGATACCCACAGTGAAACATATCAGAATTCATCCCGGTTCTAATATTACCTTCAAGATGTCGATCCTGACTAGACCTCCCCAGAAAAATGTAAAACCATTTAAGCTCTCACCATTGGGACTACTTGACAATTGAGTTGGCAAAGTTGAAATCTGTAAGGAACAAAAGGATAGTAATATCATCATACTATGTTACAGTAAAATAATCTTTACTTGGCTATAATATATAAGACTTACATCGAAAGATTGGCCTCTGAGCCGATTTTGAGGAGCAAGGGCGGGTAAATCATCTGAATGAACAACAGCTGCTTGCCTGTGGTGTAGGTGCACACCCGGTGTATCATACAACTTCTGTGATAATAAGGTATTCTTTTAACAGATGTCTACTGGTGGCAAGATTTCAGAAATTTCTTAAAAACTGGTGGTGTTTTAAGTTTATACCTCTCCTCCGAGGAAGGCATTGATCTGAATTGGACCCAAGGTGGTTCCAGGGACAGCAGATTGAATTGGTTTGTACTTTTGTGCCGCTGCTGCAGCAGGGTCCCTTTCCGCCATTGTTTCTGTATATACATATAGAACCCTTCAAACTCTCTTTATAGATGTAATCTAAATTGTGAAGAAATTAGAACTACTTGAAATACGGCTGAAGCAGCACACAGTCTTAGACAAAAGGTAAGGTAAGTATTCAAGAAGATACAAACTATAACGAGAAGTGACATAATAGAGAACAAATGACTTACTCAGCAAAGCATTGATGAATGCTGACTTCCCTACGTTAGCTGCCCCCTGTGAAGGCATGGACAAATGATGAATGAATATTTGTCAGACTGTCCCAGTTTCTAACAAATTGTAGCCTCTATCTCCTGTATGAATTGGTGTATCTTATAGAACAGGGTGGTGTAGACTTAGTTCTACTACTGGTCTTAAAAAAAAATCAGCATTGCCTCTCTCATATAAGATATGTTCAGCTAAAATAACAACTTTCCTCAGTCAGCTGTAGGTTTACTAACTAAAAAGCTGACATCTTCCTCAGTCAGCTAAAATTTTGTAAGAAACTGAGAATGCACATACCAGAATGTAGACATCTCGTCCCTGAAATAAAAATAGGGATTGAGAGGTTAGTTGCAGAAGATAAATGAATAGAAGGTTATACTATCCAATATTGAGCTATTAAGGAAGTAATATGTACGCCAATTCATGGTATATACCTTTTTCTCCTTCTGAATTTCTGATGCAACTCCGCTAACTCCATCCAGAGACTTTGAACTTGTGAGATGGACACTCAACACACTGTCAAGTTAAATCCATCCAAATCAGTCACTAGCTCCAGAAACATTAAGTCACTTTCTTGGTAACAAACATAGTAGATAAGTACTTGATACCTACTTGAGCTTTTTCCTCGTAGTCACTTCTACGACCCAATCACCAATACAGTTCATATCTGTTCCTTTCGGAAGAAGATCAATCTAACAATAAAAAGCACCATTACTTATCAGAGAAAGATTGAAAAGAATTGAAGAAGTAACCAACTGTAAAACCTTACCTTAGTTATAACCAGTATAATTGGATTAGCTCCAACTAAGTCACGAACACGAGCTAAAAAACTTCCATTAAAATCAACAATGTCAACCTGTGACACCACAACATGCATTAAACCATTAGAATATGTTGAAGACAAACTTCCTGGAACATGAAACAAAAAAAAGCAAAATTTCATTCCAACAATCTTACTCACCAATTTAACAATCAAAGCTTTCTCATGGCGCAAGTGAGAAAGTTTCTCACGGAGTTCATCAGCTGATACAAATTGTTTCCCACCAGGATATCCTCCATTACCACCTACTGCTGTAATCATATGTCCATGAGACAAAAGCTGACACCTTCCACATATTAAAGTTCTTAACTGATGATGCTTCTTCTTCTACAATAACAAAGATTTCAAATTTCACCTTCAGTGAGAAGAAACCAACAATTAATCAATCAACTAACTAAAATTGAAACCCAGAATCTCGAATTCATACCAATTCGTAAGTAATCAAATCGACAAATCCAGGAGAATCAACATCGGAAGTCTGTAACGGAGCTCCGCAGCCGTAACAACACGAGACCGAAGTATCCACAACCTTCCGCACAATCTCTTCCTTTTTCTTCTTCTTCTCCTTTTTAATCTCTCTCTTCACCACTTTCTTAGCTTCATGAGCTCTTTGGTTCTCTAAGAACCTCTCTCCAGGAGTCGGCGCTGCCGCAGCGAACCCATCTCGTTCCGAGAGAGAAACCGGAGTCTCGGAATTAGCAATTGATTTACAGAATATAGAAGTCTTCGGGTTTCGGTAAACCACGGTGAGATTGGGTTCACGTCTCGTGAAGCGACGAGGAAGAGAAGGAAACGTTGAGAGTGTCCGTAGCGCCATTGTTGAGAATTTTTTTTCTCCACCAGCTAAGCTCTGTGAAGAAGATAGAAGAACCCAAAGAGAGTTAAATAGAGACTCTTCCTCAGTCAGAGGTTTATCCACCTATGAGTTAAAAATGAGTTTACCTTAAACCTTCTGATTGAGTTAGTGAGTTAGGGTAGGGTATTTCACTTTCCCGCTATTTTGCTACCAAAATTTCGAAATACCCAAATATTAAAGAGAAAATTCAGTTTTTATTTATTTTAGGTGAAATCGGAAAAAAAAAAGAAAATTCAAATTCGCTCGTAAGAATCCTCTCAATTTTGAAGATTCGTCTCTGCTTTTTTTCCTGCAACGGTTAGATTTTGTATCTGCGGTTTTCGATTTCGGAATTAAGCTTGTTGTGATACTTAATCTGGGTTTCAGTTTCTAGGGTTTATGGGGTTTTAGTTTCTAAATTAGGGTAAATTTTGGGGAAGAAGGAAGGAGAATACGAGGTGAAGTAAAGAAGATGCATATAAAGGAGATATGTTTGGAGGGTTTCAAATCATACGCGACGAGGACGGTGGTTCCGGGTTTTGACCCGCATTTCAATGCGATTACGGGTCTAAACGGGTCTGGGAAATCAAACATACTCGATTCCATCTGCTTCGTTCTGGGTATCACTAATCTCCAGCATGTTCGAGCTTCTAATCTACAGGAACTCGTTTACAAGCAAGGCCAAGCTGGGATTACTAGAGCCACTGTGTCGATTACTTTTGATAACTCTGAGAGAAATCGGAGTCCTTTAGGTTATGAAGATCATTCGGAGATTACCGTAACTAGACAAGTAAGCCTTAATTCCACTTTCTCTCTACTTCCGAATCTGATTTAGTGAAAAAGGTTGAGTTTTTAAGTTCTTTTTGTTTTGTATCTTTGAAGATTGTAGTTGGTGGGAGGAACAAGTATTTGGTCAATGGGAAGCTTGCTCAACCAAGTCAAGTTCAGAACCTTTTCCACTCTGTGCAACTTAATGTCAATAATCCTCATTTTCTCATTATGCAAGGGCGTATTACCAAAGTTTTGAATATGAAACCTATGGAGATCTTATCAATGCTTGAAGAAGCTGCTGGTACAAGAATGTATGAGAACAAGAAAGAGGCTGCGCTAAAGACGTTAGAGAAGAAGCAAACCAAGGTTGATGAGATTGATAAGCTTCTTGAGCATGATATATTGCCAGCTTTGGAAAAGCTGAGGAGAGAAAAGGCGCAGTATATGCAGTGGGCTAATGGTAACGCAGAACTAGAACGAGTAAAGAAGTTCTGTATTGCTTTTGAATATGTTCAAGCAGAGAAAATTAGAGACAACTCTCTCCATGGGGTTGAGCAAATGAAGACAAAAATGATAAGTATTGACGAAGAGACAGAAAAGATACAGGGAGAAATATCGGAACTGGAGAACCAAATTAAAGGTTTGACTAAAGCAAGGGAAGCCAGCATGGGGGGTGAAGTAAAAACTTTGTCTGACAAAGTGGATTCTCTGTCTAATGAAGTGACACTTGAATTATCTAAGCTTAATAATTTGGAGGACACCCTACAGGGCGAAGAGAAGAATGCTGAAAAGGTTTGCCAACAGTTACTACTTTGGATTGAAATTGTTATAGATTCTCAGTTATATATCTGACAACTTCTGGTGTTGCCAGATTGTTCATAATATAGAAGATTTGAAGAAATCTGTAGAGGAGAGAGCTTCTGCTCTCAAGAAGTGCGACGAAGGAGCAGCAGATCTAAAACGAAAATTCCAGGAATTCTCCACCACACTGGAAGAGTGTGAAAGAGAACACCAGGTACACTACTAGTTAGAAGAATCTTTTTTCTTACTGAATCAATCTTGTTTGTTAATTGAATTTACGTCCCTTGATAATTAGGGTGTGATAGCTGGTAAGAGTTGTGGGGATGAGGAGAAATGTCTCGAAGATCAACTACGTGATGCAAAGATTTCTGTTGGAACAGCTGAAACAGAGTTGAAGCAGCTGAATACCAAAATTAGTCATTGTGAAAAGGAGCTAAAAGAGAAAAAATCCCAGTTAATGTCAAAACGAGAAGAAGCTGTTGCAGTGGAAAATGAACTTGATGCTAGAAAAAATGATGTCGATAGTGTAAAAAGGGCAGTTGATTCTCTTTCTTATAAAGAGGGTCAAATGGAAGCATTGGAGAAGGTTAACATTCTTTTTCTGAGATATTTTATTTCCTTCTTCTGTTTGCATAAAGAATACATCCGTGACTGAAATTTTCTCTCAGGATCGAGGACTGGAACTTGAAGTTGGGCAAAGGCTGAAAGATAAAGTCAGCGATCTTTCAGCTCAATTGGCAAATGTACAGTTTACATACCGTGATCCTGTGAAGAACTTTGATCGATCAAAGGTGAAAGGTGTGGTTGCAAAACTGATAAAAGTGAACGATAGGTCCTCAATGACAGCTTTGGAAGTAAGTAGGGAATTATGTTGTCATTATACTTTGTCGGATTTTAGGAGTTTTAATGTGACTTTTTTTTCCAGGTTACTGCTGGTGGGAAGTTGTTTAATGTTATTGTAGACACAGAAGATACTGGAAAACAGCTCCTTCAAAAGGGTGATCTTCGGAGGAGAGTTACAATAATTCCTCTCAACAAAATTCAATCTCATCTAGTTCAACACAGAGTGCAGCAAGCCACTGTTAGATTGGTATGCGGATCTTTTTTTATTCAACTGTCAAATTCAACTTCCTTTTCTTGTTCCTTGCTGATTTTCTACTAATTTTTAGGTTGGAAAGGGTAATGCGGAATTAGCACTTTCTTTAGTTGGTTATAGCGAAGAATTAAAGGTGGGTTGATTGCCTGCTCACAGTACCAAGATTAGCTTATCAAATTTCTGATAACCTTCTAATATGCAATGCAGACAATAGTTTCATGTCATTCATGAGCTATGTAACTGCTGATTTTGTATGTTTAGAACATTAACTAAAACCATGAGTGCATGACTATTCATTTTCGTTTGGCATTTTCTATTTTTTTGCAGAATGCCATGGAATATGTATTTGGTTCCACTTTTGTTTGCAAAAATACTGATGCAGCAAAGGAAGTAAGTATTTCCCAAACATTAGAGTTTGTGTGTTCATACTTTGTGTTTGCTGAGGATGTGTGTAGAGATGTATATTGATTTCTAAGCTGTTTGAATAACAACCTTACTTGACATGTAATTATAGTTGGGCCTTTTGTTATGTTGCCATAGCTTAAATTTTCTCTAAAATTTTATATGATGATCTCCCGGTTTCTATTAGTGGATCATTACTCTAGCAAAATATAATTCTTATCAGTATTATTTAATTGTCTAGCAGAAAGAAAGGGTTCTTATGTTTATTGTTCTGAAATAATTATTGTTTCTCAAAACTTGATTGTTTTGCTGGGTTTTAAATGCATTTCTCAGACATAACTTTTTATCGTATCTTCTGGACTATTAGATACCTATATTTTGATGGCAAGACTACTCTGTTTTCTTTAGATATTTCATTCTTTGAATTGTCTCTCAAATGCTTTTTCGGCAGGTTGCATTTAATAGAGAAATTCGCACTCCAAGTGTTACACTTGAAGGTGATGTATTTCAGCCAAGTGGTCTTCTTACTGGTGGAAGTCGCAAGTATGTCATTCTTTCTATTAGACTAGTAGATCTTTCATGGCGTTCATCTTCTTTATTTCATACAGATATACCTATAACCTGACCAAAAACGTTGCATACATTGTATTCCTCTGTTGTAGGGGTGGAGGTGATCTGCTAAGACAACTTCATGATCTAGCAGAAGCTGAAACAAAATTTCAAGAACATCAGAAAAGGTTGTTTGATATTGAAGCGAAGGTATATTCCTTCAATTTTTCATATGCTATAGCTTTCCTTTTAGAAAAATACACTTTGGGCTTTGGCATCTGACTTAGGCATCATAGAATTTCTGATTAACCGTTTAAAGTACAAACCACACACATTTTCTTCAGGTTAGAATTAGATCTGGATCATTGGGAACTCAGAGGCGAGGCTCATGTTTGTTCATTGGTGATTGAAAAGAAAAGAAAGTATAATTTGAGCTGCTGCAACTGACACTTAAACTGTATTTAGATGTCTCGTCATCTCAGATAGTCGATCAGTTTGGTTGTTTCTGGCTCAAATGAAACAAATGAAACAAATGTTTAGTTAATCCCATTGCAGGCTTGCAGCATAAGTAAATTGAGGCTCCTTGGTTGAATTAAGGTTTATAGTTGTGTAAAACCCTACTGGTTCTTTAAATTGCAGATCAAGGAGCTTCAGCCTCTTCAAAAGAAGTTCACAGACATGAAAGCACAGTTGGAGCTGAAAATGTATGACATGTCCTTATTTCTAAAAAGGGCTGAACAGAACGAGCACCACAAGGTTTTGTATCTCCATTTTACATCTTTTGTTGTGTTAACGTATCTCCCATTATCTGCATCCTTCTAGCTTATTCTGAATTCGAAGTTTTTCCTTCTATTGGTGCTAAAAGGCATATTTACAAGCATCACTTCCTTTTATCAATTGTTTATATAGCTTGGTGAGGTGGTGAAAAAACTTGAAGAAGAGGTTGAAGAAGTGAGATCCCAAATCACAGAGAAGGAAAGTCTTTACAAAAGTTGTGCTGATACTGTCTCCACGCTGGAGAAATCCATCAAAGATCATGACAAGAACAGAGAAGGGAGACTTAAGGACTTGGAAAAGAATATTAAAACTATCAAAGCTAGTATTCAGGCATCCTCAAAAGATCTAAAGGTATTCCAGATTTTTCAGTCAAAGACTTTGACTCTACTGTTGAACATCTTCACTCTTTTTCTTTATCCTGGTTTACAAACTTTTTTCCTTTTATATTTCTAAAATGTCTTCGTAGCTTTTGCTATATGTTTCTCTTGCTAATAGGGTCATGAAAACGAAAGGGAGAGGCTTGTGATGGAGCAAGAAGCAGTGGTGCATGAACAGTCATCTTTAGAGAGCCAGCTAGCTTCATTGAAGACGCAAATTAACACTCTGGCTTCAGATGTGGGCAGTCAACGAGCCAAGGTACTGCAGTCATTTTTATTTGTGTCTTTTAAAATTTAATAAAATTCGAGTAACGTGTGGATGTGATACCCCTGCAGGTGGATGCCATACAGAAGAATCATGATCAGTCTCTCTCTGAGCTCAAGTTGATACATGCAAAGATGAAGGAATGTGATACACAGATTAGTGGTTATATTGCAGACCAGGAAAAATGTCTACAGAAGATTAGTGACATGAAGCTTGACAGAAAGAAGTTAGAAAATGAGGTATTCTCTTTCTTCAATTTGTTTGTCTGGAAATGCATGCCGTAGTCTTGCAGCATTCTCCCTATTTAATGACAGATGTCTGGGTTTACTTAATTGCTTTGACATTATCATTTAAGTAGGACTGGATGTTGGATGATAGAGGTGAATATAAGTATTGTATTAGGACTTCATGGTAATTCGACTGTAATAAAAATTGAAGATGTTGTATACTCTATTAGTTGATAAGTAGTACTAAAAGTTTTTTTTACTAAAATTCTACATCTTAAGAAGTGCACACTTTTCATGGATGAACATTTTACTCTGAGTAGATAACAAGGATGGAGATGGATCAGAAGAATTGTTGTGTAAAGGTAGACAAACTTGTTGAGAAGCATACATGGATAACATCTGAAAAGCAGCTTTTTGGGAAAGAAGGGACAAACTATGATTTTGAATCACACGATCCTCATAAAGCAAGAGAAGAACTTGAAAGGCTCCAGACAGAACAATCAAGGTATGTTTCTGAGGATTCTAATAAATTTAAATTTGCGACCACTATAGTATTCATAGCTATACAATGCAATAGCAACAGAATATGCTATAACTTTCTCTCTTGTTTCGACTCTTCAACTATATAAAAAATCTCTCCTCTCTTTTCCTGCTATACATTTCTCTTATAAAGTCTCGAGAAAAGAGTCAACAAGAAGGTGATGGCTATGTTTGAGAAAGCAGAAGATGAATATAATGCTCTTATGACCAAGAAAAGTATAATCGAGGTTAGTTTTGAAGGGTATGTGCGACATAGTGTAATAGTTTACTCGCATTTACTAACTGTGGGTTTTCATTTTTTATAGACTGACAAATCCAAAATCAAGAAAGTGATTGAGGAGCTTGATGAGAAGAAAAAAGAAACACTGAATGTTACATGGGTTAAAGTTAATCAGTGAGTCGCTTATTTAGTTTTCTTTGCTTGTTTAACCATGTGATTCACTTCTTTTACTTCACCGTGAGATAGATTCACAATACTTACACTTGGACCTTATCGTCAGGGATTTTGGTTCCATCTTTTCAACTCTACTACCTGGCACCATGGCAAAACTAGAACCTCCAGAAGGAGGTAGTTTCCTTGATGGTCTTGAGGTCCGTGTTGCTTTTGGAAGTGTCTGGAAACAGTCTTTATCTGAACTAAGTGGAGGGCAAAGATCTCTTCTTGCACTATCTTTAATCCTGGCATTGCTACTCTTTAAGCCAGCTCCTCTTTATATCTTAGATGAGGTACATCTAGATTTAATTCCATTTTTACTAATCAGTTGAATAATATTGCTCTCCCTTAGCAATACGTAACGGCTAAGTTCATGTTTCCAGTAATCTTGAAATGTTAACTATAACAGTACCTTTCTAAGTTCGATGACATTCTGCTAAGACATTAGAGAACTCATGAGTTTAATTTTTTTCCCAGGTTGATGCAGCTCTTGACCTCAGCCATACGCAGAACATAGGACGAATGATAAAAGCTCATTTCCCACACTCACAGGTCCCATAATTTTGCGGGTTTCTTTGATTTTGTATTCTCTAGCTAATCTCATGATTCAGAGAGCTGTACTTATCCATTGAAATCTCAAACATTGCTGCTTCTCTTACAGTTCATCGTGGTTTCACTGAAAGAAGGTATGTTCAACAACGCCAATGTTCTCTACCGAACAAAGTTTGTGGATGGTGTTTCAACAGTCCAGAGGACAGTAACAAAGTAGAGCTAATACCATGCGTATATCCTTAACAACACTAATGATGTACATACTCTTCTTTCTTCAATCAAAATGGCTTCTATGTGTCTTTTAAGATCTGTAGCCAATGATTTGTTGGTACCTACTGTCTATGTCTAGGAACCATAGTTTATTTGCAACTTTAGGTTTCTTTTGTTCGTTGCAAATGTATTGATATTTAAGAGATTGGGATTCTAAGTTATGGTATGCTTAAATCACTGTTACCACATGAATATAAAAATATTAAGGAGTACGACAATGTTGATTAACTTAGTTCCTCTGTACATTGAAGATTTTAAATTTAACCATGTAGCGACAACGATTCAACACCAATTCAGGCTCAAAATCCAAGAACTCTAAGATGAAACACACTCGCTGACAGACATGAAAGTGATGGAAAGATAGAGAGAGAGAGAGATGAGATTCATAAGTCTGTTTTAAATCTTTAGCCGCTGAGGGTTTGGACAATAGTGTTGTGCCATGGATCAGACAAGTGCTGCAACAGATTCTCGAATGGTCCCTTTCCAGTCACATTGTGTTGAATCACAAACCCTAAGAATGCCAACATAGCCAACCTCCCTGCAAAAACCAAACAAATGGTCATTAGTCTTTTACTACCAGTTTCTTGCCTGACAAGATAGCGAATTAGCTTTTCCCTAAGCTTACCGTTTGCGAGCTCTTTCTCCTTGGCCTCGAGCGTAGGAGCAAAGTTAAGCGGGTTAAAGATTCCACCAGGGTAACCGACTTCACCCTTAGGTAAGCTGTATTGCTTAAAGATAGGGTCTTGGTTCACACTTCCTGGGTTCTTGATGTCTTGCCACCGTCTGATCTCAACGTAATGAAACAAAATGAATTCGATCACGAACAATGTCGACGAAGATGCAAAGTACTGCTCTTTCCCAGCATCGTACCACTCCGGAACATTTATGATTCCTACCAACATTAACAATCCTTGTGTTAAGTTCTTGACAAAAATATTACAAACTGTTCTGTTTTAGGTCATGTTAATGATGACTCACCGATCTTGGTGAAAACTTCAGGCAAAAGCATCCCTGCAACACCGAGCATAGCCCATCTTCCGTTGACCAGCTCTGCCTGGATGAACCATTTCAAGTTCTCTGGATCCTCTGCTAGCCCCAACGGGTCAAACCCATTGTCACCAGCAAGACTGCAATATGTACAAGAGAATTTAGTGAACCATTCACATTAACTGAACCGGAATCGAATAAACCAGGTCTAACCTAAGCGAACCAAATTGATGATTCAATAGCTCCGTTTCTATTCAAGCTAATTACTCTACGGACATTATCTAAACCGGCTCCGATTATTCTAATCCAAGCAGTTGGTTCCGGTTGTGCTAAACCGAAATTGAGAGTAGTTTGCAAAATTACCTGCCGGTGAGATAATCAGGGGAAGCCAAACCGGGCAACCACTCTCCTTTCTTAGCTTCAACCTTGAACGACGACGTTTTGGACGACGAACCGATAGATTTAAACGACAAGTCGCGGTTCAACTTACCGGAAGAACCGGTGAGGAATCTTGGCTTTGAAGTAGTACAAGGTCGGAAAATCGAGGCCGAGGCATGAGTAGTGACAGTCGCCATTGTCCCTAGACTCAGAAGATCCGACCCGAGAACCCGCTACTGTTAAATGGGAATCAAGAAAGATTGAAAGATGAGTTTCAGAGATGATTGTGAAGAAGAGAGAGGACTCAAGAGTGGGGGATTTGTAACTTTGCTGAAGATGAAGTTTGTGGCTGTAGTTTAATCAATGAGTATCTACCGTTGGATTAGATGACGTGGTTGATTGAACGGATGAGATGGGTTTGAGGTGAGATTTAGGCTTATCTGTTTATCTTCGAAGCGTATCTTACAGAAGATTGTTATGTTCTTTGAGATTGGTCGGAACAAGATAGTGTCGGGTCCATTGTTGTTACACGTGTCAGTGATACGGATTTTAAAATATAAGACTGAAGTGAGGATTCTTGTCAACCAATCAAATGGGAATTGGCAATATGGGAAACCAAAAAAATCCAGTGTCTGATTTTTTCCTAATCATCAAGAAGATAGGAGGAGACTGTATAGTTTTTTATTTTTTTATTTTTTGCCTTACAATACAAAAAGGTAAAAAATAAAATATAAAGCGAATTCTAAAATTTTATATTTAATGGTAGATTAAGCTTTACTTGTTTTTTTTTTCGTCATAAAGTTTTCGTAATGTTTATGTCACAATTTTAAAAAAATATTCTGAAATCGAGTAGAACTATTTTATTGACTTTTTGATCAGCTTCTTTGGTTGTAAAACAAGACCAATTTTGTTTTGTCAAATCTATTTTGACTTTGGGCTTGTGAAGGTTGATTTTGGGTTGTTTTAGGCCCAATTAAAAGAGAAGAAGGAGACTGAAGAACCAAAAAAGAACTTCAATCTTTTGTCTTTCTTCAACCTCTCTCTATTTCTTGATTTTTTCAAGATCGTGGTCATCTTTCTTGTAATTTTGACAGAAACTTTCAAGATGATCTTCTTCAACTGTTGTTGATACAAAGCTTTATAGTAAATTTCACAGATCCTACTGAGACACATACCTCATCCAATATTGCACTGATTGGAAAAAACTCGTAAATTCATAGTACTTTCTTTATTTGTTTTTTCATTCTGTGAAATTTAAGTTCGATTTTGGTTATATTTTAGATTACTTTTTAAAAAAATATAACAAAAATAAGACGATATCCAAACAAAATTAGACAGCACCATGCAAAAGTCATCACAAATTATATTTAATTTACGTTGTTACATGTTGAATATTCGTTAATATTTACTCTTTTTCCTCTACCACTCTTAAGTCATAACTCCTGTTTGATTCAACTGGTAGGGGATATTTCCTTGCATTATCATCAAATTGTTGGAAAATTCACATAAGCATGAATACATTTATATCAACCAACAGAAATAAGTTTAGTAGAGGACGACCCACTTTCAAAAAAGAAGAAGAAAAGTATATTTAGATAAGTCACCAATTTAGCTCAGAACATTAGTTTTTATTATTATTTTAAATCTCTAGCCATACTTCACGAAAAGCTCTTCTCTATGAGCTTCACAAACTCATAAAAATCAATGTTACCATCTCTATTCTCATCAAAAACATTAATCATCTTCCTACACTCCATCTTTGTACACTCATGGTATCCCAACAAACTCAACACATTTTTCAACTCGTTCTCATCTATAAACCCATCTTGATTCTCATCAAATAACCGAAACGCCTCCTTCACTAACTCCTTACTCATCATCTCATTCTTCTCAAGCAAGTACTCTTCTCCTTCTTCTATCAAACGTTCGTATAAACCTTCCGAGTCATCGATAACCGCCTTCACTTCCTCTAGGGACGTCTTATTATCTACTCGGTTCGGAACGAAGGCTTTCTTTATGATTGGGAGCTCGGTCTTGTGCTTATTGTTGCTTGGTGAGGCAAAGAGAATGTAGGCATTAGAGAAGAAGAGATGGAAACGAAAGGGAAAAGAAGAAGAGAAGTCTTGAATTATCATCATGAGATTGAGAATGAACAAGAAGATAACAATGGTGAGGAGAGAGATTGGGCTAAGAAGAGACGTATCCTCCATATTAATCTAAATTTATGTGTGTGGAATATCATAAACAAAATTTATATTGAAGCTTTTATTTTCCTTTGTCTTTGGTTTCAAAGATTGTGTTGAGTTTGGTCCTATTTTATAAGCGGTGGTACGTTTCCTTACTTAAAGTACGAAGACCAAAATCATATCTTACACACAAAGTCTGCGGAAGGAGTCTCCATGGAAAGTGTTGAGAAACTTACCAAAATTTCTGTAGAAGGCAAAGAAAAATGCTACTATTTAAAATTCAATTAAAATTATGTTATTTTATACTTTTATACATACCTACATAGAAAATCTAAATGGAATCACACTTTTCATTAAAAATGACCATGCTAACAAAAAATGTTATGCTTTATATTTTGATTTCACAATTAATAAATATTCTTCTTGGAAATGTTGTTTTGATTTGTGATTATTATGTATGTAATGCTTGGCTTTCCAAATATTAGGTGAAGTAAACTGATAATAATAATAATATGTATACCGAAATCAAATTGAACTTTTGGACTGAACCAAATGGAAACATGCATGGTAGATAGGTCTTGTCGTATAAGAAGAAAACAAATGTATATATATTATGATACTTGAATAATAAAAATGTAATCAACCTCTCATCGGACCCCAAGAACACAAAACAATAAGAGTTGAAAAATTGAGTGAGAGCAACTTTCATTTAACGTGGATTCCAATTCATGGAAATTTCCATGCAGTTTCCTTTGTAACGTTTTCCATCAATTATATTTATTATCATCATGTTGCTGTCACCGACCCCAAGTTCCCCCTTTGGCATTTTTGATACTATGGAATATTGAGACTCTTCCGGGTAATTCAGTTTCAAACCATGATCAGTTTTTTTCGTTTTTAAAACACATTTGCTATTAGGTAGACTGATTTTGAAAAACTGTAATTCTAAAGTTCTCGTTGTAGTTTTCTTAATCGTTTATTACATGAATCCAAATATATAAATCGAATCCGATTTAAAATACTTGATTAATCCGAAATTAGGATATTGAAAAATATCAGAACGGATTTGTGAGATTGGTACTTTGATACTTATCCGAACCTCAGTTTGAGCAAGTATCCAAAAAATTAAGAAATCCTTGTTTATTTATTTCCGGATATTTTGTTAATTAAATTTCAAAAAATTTAAATAGTTTGAGAAGTTTTTTACATGACTGTTTGGATAATTCAGATACTAGCCCTGGGCAAAAAGCCCGTACCCAAAGCCCATACCCGAACCCGGCCCGTTAGGCCCGTACCGAACCCGAACCCGATTAAAGAGGATATCCGATCGGGTTTTGCTTTTGAAACTTCCGGGTTCGGGTCCGGGTTCGGGTAAACCCGAAGACCCGACCAGACCCGATTAAACCTGATTTCATTCATGCCTTTGTAATTTTGTTGATCGATTAAGATTTCATTGCCCAGAAACTGAATCGATTTGCTTCCATACAACAAACAAACTGGATTCACATCCCAGAGATGCTCCTCCTCCCTCTGAGTTTTCAACAAATAATTCTGAGGTGAGTTTTCTAGTTTGTCTATGTCTTTCTCTCTCGTACGTCTCTCTCTCTAGCACCATGTTTATTGAATTCAGTGTGTTCTGCGTTTTTTGTTTTTGTTCTTACTTCTTAGTATTGAAGCGTCTGTTGTTAGTTTGATTTATAAAGCGTGTGTTCTTAGTAGCGTTTAGTGGAGTCAGTCTTGGAATCGTGTGTTCTTATATAATGGAGTGATTGGAATCATGTGTTCTTATATATGATTTGTGTTCTTATATATGTTCTCTGTAACTCTTCTGGTTTCTATGTTTAGACCCTTTTGTAGATGATTTTCTTGTTCTATGATCTGTGTAATCTGTATCACATTTATCAAATGATTCTGTCAGGAAAAAAAATGTGACTATGACTAACCTTCATGTTCCGGCCGAAGAGATGCCTTTTTTTATATAATATAGTATAGAGCTTGTGTGATTATTCGCTTCTATATATTTCTGGTGGGTCAAATGTAGATTTGTCCCAAATGTGTCAAACAGATTCTTTCTTACACATATAAATATATAATTAGAGAGTTTGGATCACTAGATGAAGACAAGAGATGACTTGGGAAACTAAAGAAGATATAAGTGTTTAAAATAATTTGCTTGACTCATGAACGTGTGTAAGGAAGCTCATGCTTCTTTGAGACAACTCATGAACGTGGCATTGTACCAAAGTGGGTTTATATACATACACATGCTTCTTTGAGTTGTGGGTTCTAGCTCTACTTCCTATCAAGACATTGTTGCCATTACCCGCAGCCACACACTTGTATATTTAAGTCATTTAATTTTTCATCTCTTCTTTATAGATTGCATGAATCTTATTAGGACACATTTAGGGGAAGAGTATGTGAGTTCCATGTCGTGAATGGTGTTCAATATAAAGGAGATGGTTATACTTCCTGCAAGCGTATGTTTTTGAAGCTTCTGTTTTTTTCTTTCTATTTTCTCTCATTGTACACTTTTGTTCAGTGATCTTATAAATTTCTCTTTATCTTGTTCTTGGTCCAGCTTATGGACCTGCAAGATGTTCAATGAACGATGGAGGCTGCTGGTCTGAAAGTAGAAAGGGTCTAACTTTCTCTGCTTGTTTGGTTAAGTGACTAATGTTTTTTCTTCCTCTTTGCTAAGAATAGTTGTTATTAAGAACCCGAAACAAAACCGAACCCGAACCCGAAAAACCCGATCCGAACCCGAGCCCGCCCGAAGATATATATATACCCGAATGGGCTTTAGAGGTCTAAACCCGAAAACCCGAAAAGTCCGGCCCGAGCCCGAACGGGCCCCCGAACGCCCAGGGCTATCAGATACTATAGAATAACATTATGCAATACCAAACTGATTAAAACAAAAACATATCAACTTAATTTGGGGGGAAAAATCCATGAGGCCATGAGTTGTAAATGTTTTAAGGGCTGATTAAAAGTATGGACTCAGAAGACCAAAAAATTAAAAATGTGGTGTTGATAAACTGAAAATTAGTTCTGCCATAATGTTTGGTTGGGAATGACGAAAGTATCCCTATTATTTTTTATTTACTTAAAAGCAAAAATGTTTCTTTTCCTTACCTACGTTCTATTTTGGCATATATATACAGATATATGAGATTTTTTTTTGTCAAATATTTGAGATATTAATATCATCGATGCATTAATATGGGAATATTGATGATTTGAGTGGAGGCAAAATTTTGATTACTTGTGCTGTCTTATTCTTTAGTGACTTTAAGAGTTCTTCATCAAAGGCAACAATCTTAGCGTGTTCATCGGATAGATCTGTGGTTATAGAGGACATAGGAGAGATTTAAATGTTGGCTCGTACGAATCGTTTCATGAGAAGCTTAATAATTGCTTCACGACGGTGGCTGGTTGGTGATTCATGGCGGAAGTGGCGGTGTTTGATGCGAGACGACGGAAATGAGAGACGGCTCGTGAATTGATGGTGAGATGTCATGACATGTCCAAGAGAAGAAATTCACACGGTGGCCGGAGACGGCGTTTCATTGGAGACGACATTTCACAGCGGCTGTTAGGAGGAAGTTATTAGGACGAAAAGTACAGTATTTTTTTCATAGTTAATGATCGATTTTCTTCTTTGCTGGGGTAATTCATGGTGATTTCAATTAGGTGAAGAAGAAATCAAGAGAAATGGCTTTCAATAAACGATGGTGGTGACTTTTGTTCTGAATCAAGTTGGTTAACAACCAAATTACCGAGTTAATTAAGACTTAATATGATAGATTATAAATTAATGACTAACAAATGTAATATTGTGTTAACATGATTTGTATACTATATTTTTAGATATTTTGTATACGATAAAGCATGAAAATGTTTAAGATATCTGGTAACAACAATTTTATTTTAATGATTATCTGCACGTGTTCTGACAATATTCATAGCATTCAATAGCATTCGATAAGGACATGTGTGTTAAATAAATTTATTTTTAACATTCGATAACTTATTTTTAAACTTGTTAAAATAACTATTATCGCGATAAGTTACATATTATCTGTTAAATTAATGCTAACACTATTCATACTAATGATATATCATGTGCAAAGATATTTAAATACTTGAATAATACTTGTATGCACATGGTAAGATATTTATTATACGGATAATATTTATTTTAGTATGTTAAGTTAGTATGATAAGTTATTCAATATTCGATAACATAAAATTTTAGCATACTAACTTATTCAGTATCCGATAAAATAAAATTTAGGATGCTAAATTATACAATAATTGATCAGTTAACAATTATCTTTTATCCACAAGTTACTGAGTGCAATAGCAAAATTTTATCTCTGACCACCTGATAATTTTCTCACGCTGATAACATATTAAATATCTGTATAATATTATATATACATGGTAAATTAGATATTATACAAATAATATTTATTGTAACACATCATCTCTCTCTAATCTGCCACCTCATCTCTCTCTCCCACCTTCTCCTTCTTCTCGAACTATGCTCCAATCTCTCTCTCCTTCCCCAAAAAGGGTAACCATTTATGAATAGAAAAAATCATCTAAGCATATAGGGATGAATATGAAACACATCTACTCGATTCAATAAATTAACCATCTTTAGACGCATCGCAATAGTAACAAGCAGGAAAAGTTGTATGAAATTTGTGGGTAGTTGATAGTTGGGCACAAAGGGAACATGAAAAAAAACAATCGATAGTGGGTGAGGGTTCCTGGGAGAGAGGAAATGTTGAATAACAAGCAAAACCCAGATTTTTAATAGGGGATTTTGTCTTCTATGCCAGTTTTGAAACTCAATCTTCTCTAAGTACCGTTTTTGAAAGCTCCTTTCAAATCCTGCCACAAAAATTTTAGTATGGACGATTTTGCCCTCAGGCAAATGTTTTGAAAAAAACAAAATCAAAATAAAAAAGAAATCTTGTCCACAAGATCTGGTCCACTAGATCTGTTCCACTAGATCTGATCCGACATAACTATTTCGAGTCTAGTCCACCAAAATTGGTTCGTCGAATGTTTTCCATCTATAGAGAAATGAATCTTGTCCACCATAAACGCATCACTTGTTTTATCATGTGGTCCGTCGAATCAGATCCAATTGAACTGTCAGTCGAAACAAGTCTATCATAACTAGTTTTTGTCTGCCGGGAATGGTTTGCCACGACTTGTCCATCGTAACTGGTCTATTTGGTCCGCCAGAACTGGTTATAGTTCGTCGGAACTGTCTATGGTCCACTTGAAATGGTCTGCAAAATCTGGTCTATCGGAACTCGTCTATTTGGTCTGTCAGAACTGGTCCGTCGAATCTGGTCTGCGAGAACTCGTTATAGTCCACCAGAACTGACTATGGTCTGCCGGAACTCGTCCGCCGGAGTTCTGGTCGAAACTCGTCCGCCGAAGTTCTAGTCGAAACTCGTCCACCGGAGTTCTGGTCAATTGGAACTGGTCCGCCGGAATTAGTCCGATCGATCTGGTCTGCCAGAATTAGTTCGATCGATCTGGTCTGCCAGAATTAGTTCGCTGGATCTGGTTCGTCAGAATTAATCCACTGGATCTGGTCCGCCGAATTTCATCTGCTGGATCTGGTCCGCCGGAATTCGTCTGCTAGATCTGGTCCACCGGAATAGCTTGTTATTAGAAGAAGAAAAAGAAGATGAAAAAGAAGAAAGAGATAATTATTGAAAAAGAGAAAAATTAGGTTTTAGAAATTTCATTGATGAGAGGGCACCGGAAGTGGCTATGCTCCGCCGGAGTTTGTCCGCCGGATTTGTCCGCCGGGGTTCGTTCGTCGGATCTGTTCTACTAGAACTATTTGTTGTTGGAAGAAGAAAAAGAAGATGAAGAAAAGAGAGATAATAAAAGAAAAGGAAAAGGGTAACATGGTATTTTTACATTGGATCTATGGCATGTTTTGAAAGGAGTTATGAAAAATGGCATTTTATAGAAGATTTGGCACTGTACATGGCATTTCGCACAATTTTCTCTTTTTAATAGGACAACAGAGAGACGCAACTGTTAATAACCAGAGTAGTATGTGCGACGATTGAGACCTAAGTATTTTCATCAAATTTTTTTTTCTCGAGAACAAAATAAAGAAAAAAAAATTTCTTCTCTGTTTAGTTGTAGATTCAATGAGCTACTCTCTTACACATAGGTATAGGGAGACGACTGTCCCAAAAATTAGAAGTTAAATAAAATTTTATGGAAGGTAAAAATTTAATTTTTTTTTATTTGGGTACCTGCATTATAGTTTCCCATGTTTTAATCTCAAGAACAATGACAAAGTTTGTACCTTTGTCATGTCGACTTATTTATCTTTGTAGATAAGAATATTACAAATATCGCAATAAACATCTTCTAATATAAAATACGTACGAGCCCATATATAGTTGCATTGTGTTTATGGGCCTAAAGAGATTAAGAGAATGGATTGGCCTACGACACTCATCTCCCGAAGAATCTGTAATCTTTTGGTTTTCTTCGTCAAACTAAACCACAAAAACCTCTCTACCGATTCGGATCATCCACAACACTCGGCGATGAAACCCGACCCGCCCAGACGCAGAAACAGAGCCTTATCTTCTTCCCCGTCAAAGACCCGACCCGGTTCCGGTGAAGCCCGCGGCGGAAAGGTGAAAACTTCGGCCACTTTACTCGACCGGGAGGAGATGGGTCTTTTTCCCGGGTCGAGTTACGATGACCCGAATCCAGAACCTAGGAGCTTTCCTTACAGTGTGAAGCAGCAATGCTGGGAGAAAGCTGAGAAGATTAAAGGGAGAGATCCTGAGCGTTGGAGGAGAGATCATTTAGGAAACATTGTGTTTAGGAAGCTCGTTGGTTGTCCTGGATGCTTGTGCCATGATTATGATCACATTGTTCCTTACTCCAAGGTTTGTCCTTTACAACTCTCACTTTAGGTATCATGATACTCTGTTTTCTGGCCTGTGAATTCTGGTTAGTTAATGTTTAGGATTGAGCTCAAAGCCTCAAACTTTGTGATTTGTATAAGAATGTTTTGTTTTTAAGTCATTTCGATAGAGTTTCTAACTTTCTATATGTGATTGATCATTTTGAGATTGGGCTATTTACTTACTCCAAGGTCTGTCTTTATGTTCTTGTCAATTACAACACTCACTTCATGAGACTCTGTTTTGCTTATGAGTTCTTATTATTAAAGGTTTAGGATTGAGCTAAAACTTCTTGTATTTTTCGCTCTTCACTGTGAAATGTCCCTGATTTTGGTATAGGACTTTGGTGGTTCTGTAGTCTGAGAAGCCTTTTCCCCTAGGACATTTGTAGCGTAGTTTCTGAAAGGCGTTTGCTCATTTTGAAGTAAATCTCTTGAATTTGTGTTATATGAGGATTAAGGGAAATGAGTTCTTCTCTTGTGCTCTCATGTTGATGACAGAACAAAATCTATAATCAAAACGCTTGAAGATGTAGCTTGAAGACTAAGCAATGATTATACATTCCTGGTTTGGATTTAAGAATCTAGTCTGCCAATTTTCTTTATCATATTCATTGTAGAACTTGCTTCATTACCCTCTACCATGTAAGTTGAAGAATGAGAAGAGAGGGTATTAATTTTTTGCAGCATGGTCTAATAGGAGCTACTATTGTTTGTTCTCTGAAGACTCTCTTAATAGGACATGTGTCCAAAAGAACACGCATGAATTCTTGTACCGGAAGTTTTTGGTATTCACATCGAGATAGGATTGTTGGTAGAGTTTCACATTTATCCTTTGAACCTACAGTTAAAAATTAAAGGATAACAGCTTCAGGACTGTGTTAGACTTATTACTGGTAAGCGATACCAACAACAGTAAAGCTTATGAAACATTTCAGAAGGGAAAAAAATAGTGTCTAAAAGATCTGATTGACATCTTTCCTGCTTCAGTTTGATTGATCTGATAATGACCCTAATTTATGAAACTCAGATTTATTTGAATTTGAATTCATGACGAATCTATCTTTTTCTTTGTTCTTGCTTAACCGCATAACTTAACTGGATTCGTAGTTTAATATAGTTTAATACAGGAGGCAGGTATTGTCATCTACATGTAACATTAGTCATTTAGTGCTCATGCTTCTTCTACAGTATCTGAAGAATTCATTTTCCAATTTCTTTCAGGGCGGCAAGAGCACTCTGGAAAACTGCCAGGTTCTGCAGGTACACTGTGGAAGTTTAAACTAAACTTATAACTACCACTTAAGGTTTTAAATGTCTACTACATATCTGTGTTTTAAACTAACTTATAGTTACCATTTAAGGTTTATTGATGTGTACTACAATATCTATGTTTATACTTTATAGTCACCATTCTCTTGTATTCGGACTGATGATTTGTATCTTGCTTAGTGGAGGAAACTCTTAGACAACCCATCTTCCGCAATAGAGTCTTTTAGGATTTTAGCTTGTTTCTGTTCTTTGGAATCAATAGGGCATAGCTCTTTGGTCACTAAGTTTGGTTTGTTTATACGTTTCAGGCAAAGGTAAACCGATCAAAGGGTAATAAAACCGACATTTCTCGAGCCGAGCTTATCCAGAGGAGTTCTTACTGCCGAGTTGCTGGTAAGTCTGCAGCATCTTTCAATTCCACACGCTTGTCAGTTGTCACTCTATAAATCAAAACTATAACTGAGTATGATCCTAAACTATTATTATTTGCAAAAATTTCGTAGGGAGGGATATGGATCTCATTGAGCTAACAGCTTATGGAAATGTACAGCGGGCACCTGAGTCCAGTGGATGCAGGATTCAATGATCTATTGATGGAAATGAAGATGATAAAGTTTCTCAATAGTTTACTCCAGATTTGTCTGAGTTACTTGTGGATTGAACTCATCATCTTTCAAATATTGTGTACAATGTTACATTAGTTCATTTAGTGCTCATGCTTAGTTCTATTTTAGCTCTCTACTCTGCATTTTTCACATATAGAAAAATAATGCCTCTACTACTTGTAATTTTCTGAAATATTTGTAACGTATATTGCTACATCCATGATCAAAATATTCAAATGGAAAAAATGTGAAAAGTAGCTTCTGTTTGTTTGTAGAATTTTTTCCTTTTCTTCTAGAAGCTTACTTTTTCTCATTTTCTTTTCATTAATCTAGAAATTATTTTGGACTCTCTTTTCCCAACTTGTCTTTTTTTTTTTTTTTTTTTTCTTGTCAGGTTCGGATTTATTAGTGAATTATTCTTCTTTCCGATTTGGTAAAAAAATATCTGAGCAACAGATAAATTAAAATAAACTCAGAGAACGATAAGTACAATTTACATGTCACAACTTCTTTTACCTGAACCATTAAAAGAAAAGAAAAAAAGACAAAAGACAAAAGTGAAAAAAAGACATATCTTTCTGTTTGCCTTTTTTATATTTTGATTATCTTTTAGGGAGGCGTGTCAGGCCTGCGTCAGAGAAGCTAAAGTTGATTACACGTGTCAAGATCGTAGAAGATGCCTTCCTTTGTGGGAAAGTCCTTTTTTAGTTATAATTTATAATTTTTCTTTGTTGGAAAATCTACTCACAAAAGTTTTCTTTAGCACTCACTCTCTCTTTTGCTCGATTTTTCATAAGTTTTTTTGGTTAAAGACTTTTTTGCTTCCCTTTTTATATATATGTTGTTGTTAAATTAAATTAAATATAAGTACATCCTAGGTAACAAATTGTGAAATTTTGTTTAATTTGATATTTAAGTATCAAATAATCATGGATATATCTTTATAAAGTAGGTATTTGTGGTTTTTGTTTTTTTGAATGGATATAATATATTTTCTTGTCTTCTTTGCAATCATTTTTTTTTCTTGGATTGAATCGACGAATTAAAGCATAGCTAGCTAATGGATAATTTGATTTTGTGGTGAGAGTAAATAACTCGTTTTGGTATACCAACTTATATAGTCCAAATCTTGTAGCAAGTAACTCTCACATCTTCTTTTTGGTAAACCTTTCAGGAGTTATAGAAAAGGTGAAATTAACGAACAAATACTACCAAATTAAGTTCGGCAGCGAATTTACCAAAATGCAAAAAAGAATAGAATCAAGTGGACGTAGATAATTAGAATGCACCAGTCTATGGATTGTTATATATTGCAAAGTGCACTGGCCTTTCCTATTAAGTGGAAACACTAAGAGATGAGATTGTTAAGTTTTACAAAAAGTTTTAGTGGAGGGTTGACTCCAACTTCCAATTCTTGCTGTGGTTTACTTTGATCATATCAAAAGTCAACACTATCATTTCTCCAATGAAACCATATATCATGTTTCTTAGTTTAACTGTATAAAAATATCAATGGTTGATCTCAATATGTTCTTGACTTTTTTTTCTCTATGAGTGCATTTTCACTTTTTATCCCTCCCCCTCCAGTAAAATCATCATATTATGTAAGAAGTGTTATCTTTTTTTTTCCAACAATATTAAAACTTATTACTTTATTAGATAAATTATGATTTATAGTTTTATTACGAGATGATGGCAATTCACATAATAAATCTACTATACATGTATTATCATAGTTTTAAAAATTATGATATGGTGATGGAAAATTAAAGTAGTGAACTATTCAACTATACAATTTAACAAAAATTGCCTTTAAATTATAACTCATTTGATATATGCTTCTTACGAAAAATATCATTTACTAAGGTAAATTTTCCAAAAATACAATTTTTGCTATTTTATGGATTTACCATTTTCAAACATTTCAAAATGTTCATATTTATGATTTTGTTTTGCTAAAATACATACTAAATAAAAAAATATTAAAATCTAAAGTAAATAAAACCAACTAACCTCGAACATAACAAATAAATATATGTTCAATCGCATATTTGTAACCTGAAAAATGACAAATCCATCGGAATTAAAGAAAAACAAAAAATCCAAAATATTGCTCTAAATTATTGGCATACACATAACTGAATAACGATGCTATAAAGTAAGTAATATGCATTATATCTTCATTTTCTTTTCTTTTCCAAAATTTATTATATTATAGCAGTGTTAGATAGCCAAACAAAGTAGTTGATTAAAGGCCACACTAGTAAAATAAATAGCGTTTACACTTAGATGATAAAATTATTAAATCTGGAGGCCAAAAAAAGTTAAGAAGTTTGACTAGGCCTAATTTTAGTTAATTGTTTTTTCTTATGAGAAAACAACAGAAAACAGAAAGGACTTGATTTCATTTGCTTCTTTAATTTTTTAGTTAAATGGGTCTAAACATCTTAACGACGTTGTTGTCTTATATTTGGAACCATTTGCAAAAAAGCTAACAAATATTAATTTTCCAAACCCTCTAACCAGAGAAAAAGGTAGGCCAATATCTTCGTGTCTTCAATGATAATATAGTGCGTTTGCGGTTGAAACGCGTTCGGCATTAGTCAAATGTTTCTTTGGGTGTCAAACTTATATCTTCAACTTTTTGAAAAGGCGTTTGTGTGATAGAAAAAACAATATACTTTTACATATGTTTTTAATAAAAAATAAATGTTGATGCAAAAATTGCTTTGCCACAAATTGGAAAAAAGGTAGAAAAGAACAGTATTATAAAAAAAGAAAAAAAGAAAAAAGCAACTTGACATAAACTTTTAATTGTAAGAATGATGATAATATATTGTGTGTGCCATAGTATAAATAGAAAAAATTAAAATAAAATAAATAATATGTGTGGCTAACAATTGATTAGGCCCTCTAAAATATCTAAGTTGCTTTCGAAGACAGACAGAGCAAAAATAATAAAGTAAAAAAATGGGAGAAAATAAAACATAGTGACCAATCTTTTTCAGCATCAATATAAAAAAAAAAGAATTTATTAAGAAGAAAGGCATACAAATAAAAAAAAACTTTTCCAACACATTAAATTCTGATTGTCTGTACGTGGTATTGAATGGGACCTTCACAATTTTTTCTTAATAATAATACTGTAATTTTTTATATTTAAAAATCTAAAGGGATTATATCTTTGTAGATATATCTAATTATCAAACGAATTGGTATATTAAGCAAGAAAAAATCATTAGAATAGTATTACTCGTTTTATCTTTGTTTACTAACTATTTTATCTTTTGAGTTTTGTTGTTTTTAGTAGAGAAGAACTTGAGAAGACAAGAAGTTGTAAAGAAGAGTCAGAAGAGTGTCGGTTGAAATGCCAACGCAACAACAACTTTTTTACCATTAATGTTATCTCTTTCCTACACTTTTGACAAATGAAGAAAGAAGCAATAGTGTACATTGTACAAAAACATCTCAAAAAGGAATAAGGTCACGAGGAGGAAGAAAAGAGTTTTGATTCTCAAAAACTCATCACTCTCCAAATATCATCTATACATACAAATCAAATCATACATATACATACATGTATAACTCTAAACCCGTTCATGGAAATTATGTGATCTTGACAGAGCAGCAGGGTTAGCAGAACGAAGAGGGGAGTTCTCGGTTTTGTCGTTGTTGTTATTCATCTTTGTCTTCTGATCATCAAACCCTTTGAACATACCACCGCCTTTGCTCATCATCCCGTCGTTCTTGATACCTAGTGTTGTCCATATCGAGCTCTTTGCTGCTTCGTTGGGATCGTCTATTCTCAACGTTTTTGGGACTAGAACGCCGTTCCTCTGTTTTCGCTGCTCTGTCTCGTTGTCCTTTCTTGCGGATTCTTCGTCTCTCGGATGCTTTCCGAGAGTGGGAGAGTTTGGATTTGAAGCTTTTTGGCTCATAGGGGATGAGGATTGATGCGGTGATACCATTGGGATGGTCCAGTAAGGGTAAAACGGCATTGGAAACCCTGGAGGCGGGTAAAAACCTGGTGGAGGCATCGATGGGTTCCACGTGTAAGGCCACGGAACACCTGGGATGCAAGCATAACCATTCATGTTGTTGTTATTGTTCATTTGTGGTTCACCAACTCTGCAGCTTTGTGGTCTTGATTCATCCACTGAGTGATTGTTAGAGGTGGTCACCGATGAGCCGCTTGAGCAATCATCTCCATTCTCTACCCGAGCCACAAGCCGCTGATCAGCTACCCCATGAAACACGTTTTGAGCTCCGTTTGAGACCTTCTGGTTTCCTTGTAAATTCATCACAGGTGCCATGGGAGCAGCAGCATGCTGTTGATGAGCATCTAGACCAAAACTCAAGACCCTTGTGTTCGCCTGCAACCCCGGATCGAGCCTCGCAGCCTCAAGAGCCTCAGATATAGTAATATGACGGTAATGAGACGAGGAGCTTTTGTTCTTACGACGCCCTGCTCCCACAGGAACATTCCTCATAGTCCCACCAGCTGTCCAATATCTCTGACAGGCCTTACAGAAATGACGAGGCTGGTTTATGTTGTAGTTGTTGTAATAACAGAACTTGGTGTCCATGCTTTTGCATCTAGGACACGGCAGAATCTTGGTAGGTTTCTTCAGGACTTTACCATCAGCTGTGGTCTGCTGGTTACTACCATCATCAGGCGAGTCGCTGCTCTCAATCTGATCCGTTGAAGTCGTCTCCTCCTCTTTGTCCCCAGTTTCGGGTTTGGACTCATTCGAATTGTTTAGACTGTTGTCGTTACAGTTCTTATCTGGTAACTCTGGAGTTACCTGAGATGCAATAAACACTAAATTAAGAACACACTTAACAATGGATAAAACCCTAAAACCTAAAACGATATTTATCACATCTTAATCAAACAATGATTCTTTAAACTACTCTTGTAATAATTAAATGAACATAGTGATGTCTTTAAGACAAAACAAGATTGGAACTTGGCTTTTTAGATTCCGTAGATCCACAGATCATTATATTAAAACCAAACACAAACTTCTTGTGATTAAAGGTTTAGTTTTAGGTAACAGATTCCAATTTTCTCAATCAATTACCTTATTATCTTCTGATGATTTGTCGTCTCCTCCATCTCCGCCGCTCCAATCATCTTCTTCTTCTTCCTCCTCGTCAACCGTCACCGGCGGCGACTCAAAAACAGCCGGAAAAGGGATTTTCATACCGAAGAGCTTAATAGCAGGGTCTCTGCTCTCCATCATCATTCTCGAAAGCTTCGTGGAGTGTCTATAGTCTCTCTCTCTCTCTCTCTCTCTATCTATCTTTATTGATTTTTGTGTTTTTTTTTGGGGTTTTTTTTTTGGAGATTTTGATTTATGGGGGAAGAGAGAGTGTGAATATATTTGATGAAATTAGGGATTTTAATAAGATCCGTATAAAAGAGAAGGAGGGTAACACGTCAGCATCACATTTCGATTCTCAGCCACAAGTTTATGTGGCCTCTGATATTTTCCTTTTCTCCTCTTTAATACCGGGTCGGGTTGTCGGGTTTTATTTCTTTCTATATAATATTAAAATTCTTACCTTTTTCGTATTAACAGATTTAATTTTTCCCAATTTATATCGGGGATAACAATACACAAGCCTCTCTCGATAAATTTAAAAATAAAATTAGATTGTTACAAACTATGAGATAAAATCATACTATTTTTTTCTATATAAAAGTAACCGATAAAGGAATATTTTGAATACAAGATTTGTAATAGATAAGAATACTTCATTTGTTAGATAATTATGCATCTTGAGAGATACATTTAGATGCAAGTTTTTTTCTTTAACAATGGAAAAACCCTTTTTCTTTAGAGACATTACATTAGATATAGAGAGAAATCCGAATACAATCATGTTGCATGTTTGTATGGAATGGCATACACACATTTTATTTTCTTATACTTTGCAACACTAGTTTTGATGTTTGAAGTTTTAATGGTTGTGAAAAGTTTGTCTATGTTGTAGTTGAAAATCATTCTTTGGTACCATGCATTTGTACACGATATTCGTATTCACCTTTGTTGCTATTTTTCTTTGTAGATTTCGATCATTTTTCCTTTTTCTTTGTAGTTAATAAATCTCTTTGGATTTTTTATTTTGTCATGGTTAATGATCATTTTGTTAAATAATTTTATTTGGTCTCATTGATAGACTATAAATTAGAAGAGAAATTAATTTTACACTAGTCTATACATATCTTAATTTTTATCATGATAATGACCTTAAAATAAAATAAAATAAATGTCAATATGGCAAAGTAGAGCTCAAGTAGTATGTCAAAAATTCATTTTGAAAGCTTTTTCTCATACATCTTTTGTACAAATAATTAAACATTACAATTAGTTTAAGCATAATTTATATTGGAGTGACTCTCACTAGCATAATTAAAGAGATAAAATAATTTCAAAAGGCAATTTTTCAAGATAGAATAATTGAATATGTGATTAACTAGTGGATATTCAAAACATTTTCTCATAAATTGATAGTTGCTTGGGTGAGATACATCAATTGGTAGCTGCTAGTGTAATAAACATCAATCACTAACATATACTGAGATACTATAAAAGAGAAGAATTGACCAACACAACAACATCAGATATAAGATCAATGAGTGTTCTAAAGCAACAAAATCTTGTAAAGTAGTTCAAGAAAATTGTAGCTCTAATCAGATAGAGTTCAAAAGACATGCCCATGTCACAAACAAAGATCTCCAACAATACAAACACACAAATCAACAATTGCATATATAGGAACATCCAACGGTTACGTAATCTCACATATTTTTTTTCTTAAATAAGTTATTCAAATATTTTAAATAATTTTATACAAAATCTAATAGAAAAATAAACGACACATAAAATTTCAAAAAAAAAAATCGTTAATATATAGTTTAGATACATATTAATCTATTTGTACGTTTTGGTTGTATAAGGAAATATGTTTAAATAAAAAAACAAAAGAAGGTTGGATCTAATGAGGTGTCAATCTACAATTGGTAGTTAATAAAAAGGTTCTGTAGGAAGGTATCTCTCTGCCACATTATTGTAGTAACGAAGTTGAGAGATTTTTTATTTGGGACTTTTGGAGGATCTAAATCAAAGTCTGTGTTTTGCCACGTTGGATTCTCTGTCACACCTGCTGTTCCCATTGATTTCATCAAACCCAAAAGGAACGGTCGATGCATATCTTTTTCTCTTCCTCGATCTAATCATAACCCTTCAGCCTTCACGTGTTCCACTGCCACCAATCTTTGCTATATACGTTAATAAATATTATTTATTTGAAAAAATATCAATTATTAGATTGTTACTTTTATAGTCTTTTAAAATTTATAAAAGTTTTATCATTTTATGTTATTAAAAATATTATTTAACATGTGTTTTATTGGTTATGTTTAGATTCAGTAGATTTCATTTAATTTTTAGGGTTTAATATTTTTATAATATGTAAAATGTCAAATTTAGAAATTTAAACCAAAATTGCAATTTTTGGTTGGTCAAAAAATAAAATTTGAACTCTATAAACTTTTAAATCTCTGGTACATATACGTGAATAAATTTTAGTTAAATGAAAAATTGTTTAGACTTTATCAAGAGCATAATTATCTGAAAAATAAATGAAATAATATACTTATTTGTTCGGTAAATTATTCTCAATATATTTTCTTACCTGAGTTCAGTGTAGTACACACAATTGTACTTCTCCATCTATATCCTCTTTTTTTTTTTACATCTTAAAAGAAATTATTTGTTATAATATAAATAAATACTACAAGATAATAATAATATATGTGAAGATAAGCCATCTTTGTGTTTAAGCCTTGCCTTTTCACACAACACGACTGGCGAGATGTGGAAGCTGCTGTGTCCCTTTGGGAGCTACATTAAAAACAACACCTTTTCTTCTATCTACCTTTTTCATTTTCTTGTTTCTTGCCTAATCAGATAATTCGACTGGATTTTTTTATCATCAATACCTTTTCCTATCTAGCTAGTTAACTATATCAATTGTAAAATTGACATGTTACTATACTAGTTAATAAACTTGCTGATGAACTTGTATCTCTTAAAAATGTCTTTAATCAATACCGCGAATTGCTACCGGTTGTTATGAGAAACGTTGAAGCCATCTCTTTAATATCTTATGCATTTGATTGAGTACACCTTCTTATAGTTTCATGTCAACATTGCGAACAAATTAACATATATTTTCTCTTACATATACAAAAAAACATATATGTGTTGAACAAATATTTTTATTGTAGTATTTACAAATACAACACTTTATATCCAAAGCTAGAGATGGGTTGAATAATGTAAACCGTAACTCTCGTTGTTTCGGCGAATGACTTAAATTGTCATGTAAAAATGAGTTATTCCAAAATGCCACATTGAGCATAGTATGCATATAGTAGCACTACTACGTACTGCACTCGACCACATCTCTTCCTTAAAGCCCATTTAAAGCCTTAGGCCTTTTTGTTTTTGGACATTTTTTAAGCCTTGCTAGTCCCTTATTACATGTGCTCACTGTTTGGGTGAGTTGGAGAAAATAACACCAGTCCAGCATATTCTTCTAACTAAAATTGGATATACTTTCTATTTCTACTAGTTAGTATGTGCTTAATACATCAGCTAAAGCAAAAAAAAAAAAAAAGAAAAGAAAACACACACACACACACACACAAAAAGTTACATATACATGTAATATAATAATGGTTGAAATTTTCTTACTTAATTATTATTGTTTCCAAGATAATTAGAACACCCTAAAATGATTCAATAATATTTGGTAATTCTTAGTTTTAAAAATGATCTCATATACACTAAGTTGATTATTTGAACAAATATGAGTTGTTTGATCAAATTCTTACTAAAGGCAATTGTTTTTTCAGAAATTGTTAACCGAAGTGGAACCATCTAATATTTTAAGTGTTGTTCTCTAAGGAGGAGCTTTCCTCAAAACTCAAAAAGTAAAAAATATCCCTTTCTAGTGGTTTCTTGAATTGTATTTCCAATGTCAATTATGAAAAATATATGAAATGAGTAGTAATATTATATTGGTGATCACATTGAGAAGGTGGTGAAGTTTCCCACTATTGAATTTTTATAAAATTTCTTGTTGACTTAAAATACATAAAGAGAAACCTTCCAAGAACACAACGATAGCTTTGAAATTGTGCTTATAAACTTTTCGACATAAATGGTGGTGATATATATATTTTGACATTATGCAGAAAAAGCAGTGCATGCATATGGCCATAAAGCTTTTAGTAGATTGGGAAACAAATGAATATCTTCTGAGGTGTATTATATTTTTTGTAAAAGATGTTTACAAATTACAAATACAAAAAAGGAGTTGTCTCTAAAGGTACCGTATATATTAAGGTACTTAAGAATAAATGGTATGATGTATTAGCCACTATAGAAGCCAATTTCGTGAAGTGATTAGAAAACATCATTAAGAGTTAGTGCCATGACTTTGACAAGCATGTATCTCTTTCTTGCACTTACATATAATCTTCTATAACTTTATTTAAATGGAGTACTAATATATATACATAGAGATATGTATACTTTTTTTTGAATAATAAAAGATATGTATACTTTGTCAACAACATGGCTAAACAATTGACAAAATGGCTATGCTTATTATTGTTAATTAATACTCTTTTGTGCCTAGCTATAATCCATTATAGTGATTGCCATTACACTTAAAAGTGAACTTCCAAAAGCACAAGACACGAAACTTCCCTTGACTCGAACCCATTTGTCGTCAATGACTAATATATATAACTCGACACGCGTAATTAAGTAGTTATGCCCATTGGCTCCCCCACAATTCCACCACTTTAAGTAACATCGATCATTTCTATTCGACTACAAAGTTTCTTATGAGACCATGCCTCTTTGATCATGATCTGATCTGATCATCTGAATGAACACTTTCAAACAATGAATTAATAGGGTTTTGCTTATGAAAGATCGAGTGTTACACACATTTTTCAAACTGTAATTGTAATTAGTATTATATAGAACAGTTAACAAAACAGCACTAGCTACACATAAAGTGAAACCGCGTCGATAGCTTGTTTCTTCTTATTTTGTTCCTTTTTAAAAGTTTAGTCATGTTGGTTGTTTAATACAAACGACTTAACTAGCACTCTAAATTAGATTTAAAAATGGTCCATAATTAATTATGTTACTAAAAAACCTCACTATGCTATTAGTATATAATGCTCAAGTTGGAAGAATAGGAACTAAGAGAAACCATTACGACACACAAAACTGAAAACAAGTTGGGGAAAAAAAAAGAGAGAAGTTAGTACTCATCACAACAACATTAAGGTTTTAATCTATATATATACATTTTTGTCATAAATCATCATCTTCAAATGGCCAACAAAGTTCTCTTCCATCTCCTCGTGATCTTCTTGTCTCTATCTCACTTCTTCTTCTTGCCTTCCCCTGCTTCAAGTAAGATCATCATCTCTCTTAAATCTTATTTTCCGTATTAAATATTTACATTATACGTTGTAAGTTTGTAACTTATACTTTTGTATTCACATAGGACCATGGAGTTCTATGGAGAAGCCTACTCATATTGATCTCCCTCAACATGATGTGGTTAGTTCTGAAGCTATGTATATACATGTGTTCTTGAAAAGTTACGATTAGGTTATTAAAGATTTGAATTTGGTTTGTTTAAAATAATGTTGTTATAGGATTTGAAGGAGAAGGTAAAAGAAAGGATGGTGATGGAGTTAAACGATTATCCAGGTTCTGGTGCCAACAATCGCCATTTGCCGCGTCAGCGAGGTTGTGTCGATTGCTGATCGATAAAATGAAGAAACATCAGTTATAATTATAGTATCGATCGATAAGGTTAATATTACGTATAAAGTAACTTAACATATTTACCCCCAAAAAAAAGTTTATGTATATGTAAGCTTACGGACTATGAAATTGAGTTAGTTAACATTGGAGTGGAGTCTATAACCAAAGCTTACGGACTATGAAATTGAGTTAGTTAACATTGAGTTAGTCACACTAAAGCATAGTTTCTTTTATGTAGCTGAGTTGTTAAATCCAGTTATACTACTGTGGATAAACTATATATGGATGATAACAGTACAAGTCTTTAATTTCAATTTAGTGGTATACCAATGGTTTACGTACGGCTTTGATATTTATTTGGCATATATTCCTATCCTTGTTAAAATCATGCAATTCGATTCCAAACACTTGAAAAAACTTTATCATACTAGCCTTTCTAAGCGATTAGACAAAAAAGCTATTGGGAGACTAAGAAAACCACAAAATCGAGCTGGAATATGATTGAGGATCCATAGAGATGCATAGACGAGCGATGACGAATCTGAGATGAGAGTTCTCGTGATTTACAAACTAAATGAGAATACTAGGAGAAGTTGCTAAATTGCGTACGAGAAGTTGTGAAGGGTGAAGTCCGAATCTATCACTAGAACATGTTGCTATGAATGTGGTGAAGACATAGCCTATCATTAGAACAAGTTGTGTTGTGTGTTCCTAAGGTTTATCTTCCCACCACTTTTAAGAACTAATCAATTTATTTTTTAAAAGCAAACCAGACTACACGACTTCAAGCAACCATCCCATGTGGTATTATTATGTTACACGTCTAGACTCTAGACCAATTCTTTTAGTACTTAAGAATCACAAGTTCTTGAAAACAACGACATAAAATCTGTGGCATACACTTACTTGTGAATCCTATAATCAGCGAACACAAAATCACCAACAACGTTATTGAGTCGATGACCAAATTAGACGTCAACGTATCATGAAACTAGCTAGAGAAGTAAGTAAGTAGTTGAGAGAAAGAGCATGTGGGATATATAATAAGGTTAACGCAGCGTTTTGGGCTGCCGTCGTACGAACACAACTAAAGGACACAAGTCGTGTATCGTATCACATCACACCACCTCTTGGCGGATCTTACGAGACACAGCCAAAACAAAGTTCTACAATTTTTTTTGATTTTTTTCTTTTTCTTTTTAATTTCCTTCCTTTTTAGAATAATAAAAATTGTTTCCTAACTCACATCGTCACCTAATCCCATTTCTCTTCTTCTTCCTCTTCACTAGAGCTCTCTCTCTATAGCGAACAGAGCAAAGTCTTAATCTTTCTCTCTCTCTCGCGTATTGGGTTTTCAAATCAAGAAGCTTTCTCCAAGGTTAGTTTCTTTCTCAATTCGTTTTCTTCTTTTTTTATCAAAAAATTTGATTTTTTTTTGGATTGTTTAGACCATTCTTCGATTTCACGATGTAATAGCTGAGTCTCCTGTAGAAGAAATCTCGATCTGGTTTCGATTAGGGTTTCTAGTTCTTCGATTGATTTGTTCGAATTTGCCTTCTTTTGTATAGATTAGATATATGGATCTGTCTTGCCCTGTAAATGTTTAGGTATGGAACAAAGTTATATTCTTCTTTTGTGAAAAACAGGGAAACCAAACATACAAAAATGGCAGCAGCAGCAGCAGCAACATCAGCTTCTTTGTTTTCAATTGGATCTTCTTACTCCTCTACTAAAGCTAGCTCCTTAACACAGTCGAGGTCAACACAAGCTGTGAAATTTAACTCAGTCCCTAGTTTCACCGGTCTTAGATCAACCTCACTCATCTCTGGATCTGATTCTTCTTCCTTGGCCAAGACTCTGCGTGGTTCTGCAGCCAAAGCTCAAACATCTGACAAGAAGCCTTACGGATTCAAGATCAATGCTTCCTACAAAGTAGCTGTTCTTGGTGCTGCTGGTGGTATTGGTCAGCCTTTGTCACTTCTTATCAAGATGTCTCCCTTGGTCTCTACCCTTCATCTTTACGATATTGCTAATGTCAAGGGTGTTGCTGCCGATTTGAGTCACTGTAACACTCCTTCTCAAGTTCGTGACTTTACTGGGCCTTCTGAGTTAGCTGATTGTTTGAAAGATGTGAATGTTGTGGTTATCCCTGCTGGTGTGCCGAGGAAACCGGGTATGACCCGTGATGATCTTTTCAACATCAATGCTGGTATTGTGAAGTCTTTGGTTGAGGCTGTTGCTGATAACTGTCCTAATGCTTTCATCCACATTATTAGTAACCCTGTTAACTCTACTGTACCCATTGCTGCTGAAGTGTTGAAAAAGAAAGGTGTGTATGATCCCAAGAAGCTTTTTGGTGTCACTACGTTGGATGTTGTGAGGGCTAACACTTTTGTTTCTCAGAAAAAGAACCTTAAGCTTATAGATGTGGATGTTCCAGTTATTGGTGGACATGCGGGAATCACCATTTTGCCTCTTCTTTCAAAAACCAAGCCCTCTGTCAACTTTACCGATGAAGAAATCGAACAGCTGACTGTCAGGATTCAGAACGCTGGAACTGAGGTCGTGGATGCTAAGGCAGGTGCAGGTTCCGCTACTTTGTCAATGGCATATGCTGCTGCAAGATTTGTCGAGTCATCTCTACGTGCTCTTGATGGAGACGGAGATGTGTACGAGTGTTCGTATGTTGAGTCGACTCTGACTGATCTTCCTTTCTTTGCATCACGGATCAAGCTTGGGAAGAATGGACTTGAAGCTGTGATTGAGTCAGACCTTCAGGGATTGACTGAGTACGAGCAGAAAGCACTAGAAGCTCTTAAACCAGAACTGAAAGCGAGCATCGAGAAAGGTGTCGCCTTTGCAAACAAACAAGCTGCCGCTGCAGCTAACTAGATCGTGATTTTCACTTGGAAAAAAAAAGACACATTCAAGAAGCTGATAACATTTTTCTTCTGATCATTTTGAGTTTTGTTTTCTTTTTCATATTTCTTGCATCGGCGAGACATTTTCTTATTGTAGAATAAAGAATGTATTAGCTTCAGTTTTGAGGATTTTGAAACATGGCACTGAAGCAGATTTTATGAATCATCACCAACAAAAAATCATTACAGGAGCAAGACACACCTCTTAAAAAATACAAATAGAATATAAAATAAAATAAAAGACTTTTTAAAGTTACATATACTAAGTACAAACTAAAGCAGACAAATACATTTCATACAATTTTTGCCTCCATTGCTGCTTAAGTGTATATATATATGTATGACAACAAAATTTCAAAAATGTCATTTCTCATTTATAATAAAGGAAAATTTACAAGATGAGTGGTAGTAATGCCTTTTTTTTTTTTTAAACTGTCATTTTGTAACTTTAATTTCACACGATTACTCTATATCCTACTTTTCCATTTTTCTCACATCATATCTAATTTTTCTACTACAAAAGAAGTAAAAATCACCTATTTACATAATTATAAATAGTAAATGTATTTAAAATTCTTATTAAGTTTTTAACAAAAGTCATAGCGAAGTTAATTAGGAAAAAAAATTCAAAATGCCATTTCTCATTCATAATATATGAAAAATTTACAAATGGAAAATAAGGTGAACATAAAATAATACAAACATAATATAGAATAAAGAAAAGACTTAATGTTAGGAAACAATATTAAGGTAGATATAATTTTCTTTAGTGAAGTCACATGAATATTTAGTATTTATATTTTAAACAGAAAAAATTGGGTTATAAAAAATGCTCTTCAAAAATTTCATAAAATCTTTGAAATGGAGGTGGTGGGTTAATTAATTAGTTAGGGCAATAGGTCCAACATTCTTGGGGATTATACATCTTACGCTTGAGGATGTGGGTGTTTGATGAGCAGACAAAGTAATTTTTTTCTGGTTTGCATGGTGGTCTTCCAGACTTCTTTCCTGTGTGAGGATTTGTCAATAGCTTGTCAGCTTTAAATAAACCTGTATATATAAAACATAAAAAATATATCAATTACAAATAATAATAGGGAGGATAATATATATATAAATTGGTTACTAACTAGTATTGATTCATGATGGTGAATATGTAAAATATATACAAATGACATACTACATTCATGGAGATTAGCAAGTAAGACGAGGATGACACAAAATATGACAATTTTGGATGACGACATTGTAGTTTTTTTTTTTTTAAAGAAGAGTTTTATTGTATTATTGTAGAAAACTTTACATGTAAAGTAAACATATATATAGAGAAGTTTCTGACTATTTTTGTAGGGTGATCCCAAAAAAACTGTTTTTAAATTCGTGTGGTTTGTTTTGTTTCTTTATATTCAAGAAAAATTGATGTTTAAGAGTTAATTACTCGTTTTCACTTTTCACACACAAAAATGAAGAAGTTATTTACTCATATGGACGATTTCCAAATGATCAATATTTGAAAATTTTATCACTATTTGGCATTTTTAACCATTGGTTTTGATTTACGGTCGTTATAACTAAGTTATGTAAATATTATATTTTGTTATAAGAAGATGAATGTTTTCAAATTCCAAACTTTTTCATTCAAGAAAAATACAGATGCAATAAACAGATATATACTGTATATATTTCCACAATTTTAAGAGTTTGAACTTTCAATCATGGCACTGAAGCATGTACTTTATAAATCATCAGCAAAACCAAAAGTGTCATTACACAAGGAAAGGTCTTTAACAGATTATGTAATCCGGTTTCCTTTATCCGATTTACTTGATTTAATTTATCTTGGTTTACTTTACATGTGTTGTTATATACAAGCTAATAACCAAAATAAACCAAGATAAATTACATCAAGTAAACCGGATAAAAGAAACCGGATTACATAATCTGTTAGTCTCTAACGATTTATACACATCATATACAAATTTTTGTGACATTATTGCAATCAACATAACTTTTCTCACAAAATGATTAGAAGCAAATTATTGTGAGCTTTGTTTCATGTGAAAGATATGCTTCAACATTTTTCTTCTAATCATATTCCTTTTTTGGTTTCTTCCATCATTGTAGCATGGGATAAATAATGTATTAGCATGAAGATCCGAGACAAGACAGTACTGAAGCAAACCTTTTCAATCATCACCAAAAGTCATTACAAGAGCAAGAGCCGTTTTCAAAATGATGAAATCGGGAACGGTCTCTAACAATCACTACACGATCATAAACATCAGATACAAACTTTGCAAAATTATGGCAATCTACACAAGTTCTGAGATTCTTGGTCACTCTAATGGTTGTTCCTGGTGGAGTCACCAGGATCCCAAATGCTATAGCTAGCTTCTCGCTATGGTATGTCAACGCATGTCCCTTTTCTTCTTCTGAATCCAGATTGTGCAGTTCCGATGTGAATTCCACCACATAACCCGCAATCTTCAGCTGCTGATTGATTTCCGCCAGCTTTTTATAGATTTCTTCCATCCGCGGATGCGAAACATCGTCTACTATAAACTCATGAACGGTTCCTTGCAGCTCGATTGCGCTCCATCCTGGTTTGGTCTGGATTCTTTTCTCCTTCATCAACGAACGCAGTTCAGTCACTTTCTCCCATTTCCCAACCGAAGAGTAAGTGTTGAGTAACAGAACGTAATCTCCAGCTTCTTCGGCTTTGAGTTCGATTATATGAGAGATCACGCGTTCCCCAAGTTCAACATATCCATGGACTCTACAAGCCCCGAGCAGCGTACGCCAAATAGTGGAGTCTGGTTTCATCTCCATTGACTTTATGAGACTGTAGGCTTTATCTAGTTGACGAGCACGTCCCAAGAGGTCAACAATGCACCCATAGTGATGTAAATTTGGCTTTATCTTAAATTCACCGCTCCTCATTCTATCGAAAAACATCATTCCTTCATCAACCAACCTCGAATGGCTACACGCAGACAATAAACCCGTGAATGTCTGTTCCTCTGGAGAGATTCCAAACTTCAACATTTCGTTGAAAGCCTCAATAGCTTCTTTTCCAAACCCATTTATAGCTAAACCCGAGATCATAGCCGTCCACGAGACTACATTTCTTTCATCCATTCGATTAAAGACTTCGTAAGCCTTATCCATAGACCCGCAACGTGAGTACATCGAAACCAGAGTGTTGCTCAAATTCAAAGCATTGCCAAATCTGTTTTCATCGATAAAAGCATGAACTTGCTTACCAAAATCCAACGCGCCCAAGTTAGCGCAAGCTTGTAAAGCCAATAAGCATGTTACACCGTCAGGTTTTACACAATCATCGACCTCGTTCTTCATCTTATCAAACAAAACAAGAACATCTCGGGTACGTTTGTTCCGTAGATAACACGAAACCAACACGTTCCAAGAAACGATATCTCTCTGAGGAATTTCGTCGAACACTTTACATGCATCATTGCTGTTTTCACAAGCTGAGTAAAGATCCATCAATGTCGTCAGGAGAAGACTATCCGAGAGAAACCCATCACTGTAAATCTTGCCGTGAATCTGCAAACCACCGAGTAAGTCACCGGACTTGATGCAACACTTGAGAGCAAAAGAAGACGAGAGTGGGTTAGGAGGAAGAGAGCTGTTTCGTCTGAGAGCTCTGAACAAGCGGAAACCTTCGATTGGATTTTTGCTGAGAGAGAAAGCTCTGATCATGGTGTTGGAATGAGAGAGAGTTGGGTTCGATCTCTGGGAGAAGACTCGGCATGAGTAATTGATGTCCCGAGGAATGAGGGAGAGAGAGAGACGAGAGAGGAAATGGTGGAAAACGTCTGAGTTTCTGATTAGGGAAGTGCGGAGTAAGACGGCGTGAATCTGCCGGAGATGGAGTTTTCCGGTGGAAGATACGATCAGAGAGATAAGGTGATCGTCGCTGCTGCTTATAGACTTCAACATAGTTTTCTTCCGGTTCCGGTTCTAGATGAACCGGATCAGAAGCTAAACCAACGTACTCCTTTTGCTTTCGCCATTTCTAATATCTGAAGCTTTTGTTTTTCGATGTTTCAGGGTTTAAGCATTTGAATCAACAGTGTGTAGAGAAACTGTTAAACCGACTTTAAAATTTACATAAGTTCGGTATTCTTCAAACCGACCTGGTTATCTCAATCATTACAAACCAGTAGATACGGTTTCCTTCTAGATTCTGAAATTTATTAACAAATAGTCAAAAAGTCAAAAGTCAAACTAATTAGAAACGTCTAGAAGAATTTTCAACTTATGAAATAAATGTATTTTTCAGCTTGGTCCATTTCGCCTACCCTAATGAAAAAAAGAAGCAAACAATGTATTTTGTTTTATGTCACATAAATGTATTTTTCAACCGATGTAAATAAAAAAAATATATTATTTTTCAGCCGACAAAAAGAAAAAAAAAATTCAACCAAAGTTTGTTTAGTTACTATATGGACCCATTAATTAATCTCTGTATCTGATTTGGGTGGAAAATATTTATTAGCATTATAAACTCTTTCATTAATATTCAAGACTCAAATGTTTAAAACATTTAAACTGTTGACCAATAAAATAAATGAAAACATTTAAATCTCTTAACCAAAAAACTTCCGGTTAAAATTTATTAGAGGAACACGCTTTCTCAACTAGCCGTTTAACGGACGTTATCTTTACCAAGTTCCAAATCTCCGGTTCGTACATAACCGAACCTTTACATTGTTTCTAGATATTTATATAAAAAAACGCGCTCCCAAAATAATATTAATAGAATTGAATTATATAATGTTTATCTGATTATTCAGACCGAACACGAAGAGACAAAAACAAACACAAATTGTGTAAGAGCTTCATTTGAGCTTAAAAAGGTTCCAGATTGCGAAAAATCTATAAAAAAATAATTCAGCTTCGTATTCAAGAATAATTTACAGGTAATGTTGATTATTACTCTTCTATGGTTATAATGATTCAATTTTGATTTTCATTTGTAGAATATTAGGGTTTGATTCTGGAGATCAAATCGTATCTATTGAATTTGGGGCTTTTTCGATTTGGGTTTGTTTAGTACTTGTGAAATTCTTAATCTTTTGAAATTATCAAAACCTTTTTTACTCGCATTTCTAGAAAAAAGTTTTATTTTTTCGGGGATTTTTCGCTTGTGACTTGAGATTATATAGGAGTGTAATGGTCATATGTTCTTAGGTTTAAAATGTACTTTGGAATTTGATTTAGCTTCTTCTTGGTTACAGATATCATTTGGTGCTAAGTTAAAAGATGGCTGATCATTTGAGTTTATGTACCGACCGTCTTATAACAATTGAGAGCTTGAACTCAGAGAAAGATTCTGAGTCTTCAGATTCTTCTGGAGAAAGTTCTTCCCGGCCTCAAGGCACAGACTTGGCTTCTTCATCTGTGGATGAAGCTGAGGAACCGAGGGAGTACTACGCTGTTTCTGAAGAGGAAGAGCCACTTCTCCAATCTGTGGAGTGCCGTATTTGTCAGGAGGAAGATACAACTAAGAACCTTGAGGCTCCTTGTGCTTGTAATGGTAGTTTGAAGGTAAGTTTATTCAAATCTTGTGAAATTTTTAATTGGATCTCATTGTTGTTTGTTTTGAGAACTTTTTAAAAATGAGTTTTGATTTACGCAGTATGCCCACCGCAAGTGTGTTCAGCGTTGGTGTAATGAGAAAGGCGACATAACCTGTGAAATATGCCACCAGGTAAACTCATCACTTTCTCAGACTCTGATGCTAAATCTTGTATCTTTATGTCAATTTACCTATCTAAGTTCATAGCACTTATGCAACAAATGCAACTTTGGATGATGAAATGTATCAACAGTTATTGCTGCTTAAATGTATACGGCATTCATATCTGTAATATTACTTCTTAGGATTTTTCTATGTTAGTTTAGAATGGTTCATCTTGTTATTGCTGCTCAAGTGTTTTTTTAGTTACAACTCCTAAAAAGTTCTTTTTTTTTTTTACCCCTGATGATTTATCAGCCTTATCAACCTGGATACACAGCACCTCCACCACCTCCTCCTGATGAAACGATAATTCACATTGGGTAAGTTTTCCGAATCTTTGTTTCTTGCCGCTTTTGCAGACTTGAACAGCGAATTCATATTCCTATAGTAATTACTTTGTCTATTTAAAAAGTTATGCCTTGTTGAATTGTTCAGCAAGTGTTCCTCATCCGTTTTCTTAAGTCTAATATACATTATACATTCAGTGTTATATCTTACTTTGGCATGTTATGGTTCTGGTAGGGTATAGAGAATTCAAGATGTACTCTCGTCCGTAAGATATCGATAACTAACATTATCAATGCATTTAAGTTTCAGAAAGGTGGTAACATCAGGAGTAGGATAAAACTTTTGAAATGTTTCCATATTCATATATATTTCCTTCAGCCATTATGACTCTCTTAATCTTTGCATTTATCTGGTATTTATCTCTTTTATTCTGTAGCCCCATTATTCTTGACTTGTTTGTTTTATTGAAAATGCATTGTACAGTGACGATTGGGAGAACGGAGTTCCATTAGACTTGACTGACCCGCGCATTCTGGCAATGGCTGCAGCAGAACGCCATTTCTTGGAAGCTGACTATGACGAGTATTCTGAGTCTAACTCAAGCGGAGCTGCCTTTTGTCGCTCTGCTGCTCTAATCGTAAGCTTGCAGTTCTTTTTTAAATCTTGTTGAGAATATGATTTCTTATCATGTGAATTGAATGTACTGTCAACTGTAAACTCAATACTAAATGGCTGCATTTTACTTCTGTGATGGCAGCTAATGGCACTTTTACTGTTACGAGATGCGCTGAATCTCACTACTAACTCAGATGACGAGGACGATCCAACTGCCTTCTTCTCTGTATGTACATCTTTCCTTACCTTCCCTACGTCTTTAAACCATCTCTGTGATACACGATATCTCATCAAGTATCATCTATATGGTTGAGAAGCTTCTTAATCGTTCTTTTAAGTATTTCCTTTTTATGCTAAACTAAGAGATTTAGATAGTTTACTTATTTCACAATGCTTAAGTTGGTTTGTAAGAGTCTATATAAGACTCTCAAAATCATCAATAAGAATTAACTTCCAACAATTAACCTAATTCTCTAAGAGAGGCTTGGATTAGAGGGAAGCTTGCTTTCAATCTTCTTGTTCTATAAGCTTAGGTTATTTCTCTAATCTAGTCATTACGGAGAAAGTAGAGGGTCCACTAACAAGAGCAAAAGCAAGAGCTTTGGCTCATAACACTCTGAATACACTTCTTTAAGTTTCTTGGTGATTTTGATTGGTTCTTTCTTTGCTTCTGCTCTCTGGTTTTAACAGCTTTTCCTACTTCGTGCCGCCGGCTTCCTCCTCCCATGTTACATAATGGCATGGGCCATTGGTATACTACAACGTCGGAGACAAAGACAGGTGTGAACATGAAAAAACTCACTATATCAAACCCTGTTAACTTGTAAAATGCTCAATCTAACAGACATCACAATGGACCAATTTTGTTTTCCATGATATCAGGAAGCAGCGGCTCTTGCTGCCGCGGAAGTTACTTTCATGATTCACGGAGGGGTTCCCCAACGCAGGGGACTGCACTTTGCTGTAGCGCCAGAGCCACCTATAGCCAACGTCCCAACACCCGTTTGATCCTTCCTGGTTAGGAATCTTCGGTAAGGCGATTAGATAAAACCTTGAACTTGGTTGTAAGAACTTCACCTACTTATGCTTCTTCATATGTTATTATCTTCCTCGTATGTTTCTGTTCTCTGAATCTGTTAAATGTATATTTCGGCTCTCAAATATTTACAAAGAGCTCTCCCAGCACTCTGTACAGGACCATCTATCATTATTATTATTATGTATTATGAATTTATGACTATCATAAAAATACATGTCCAATTCAATTTAAAATTTGGTCAGATGATTTGTTATTGCTAGATTATCTAAGAACAAGTTTCTTTACAAATGCTTAAGAAACTTATTCTAGCGAAAATCTATTCATAAAAGAAGAAACAGAAGGTAAACCATGTGATTTTGTGATGAGGTTTACGTACGAAACAAGCATATGCTTATGAAAAAAAAAATTAAAAATAATAATAAAATAAAATTCTTTGCAATCTCATACTGACAAAATATGTTATTTCAAAATCAATATGTTATTCTAATTTTTCTTTCAAATTTAATAAAAAAGAAGTTTGGAAATTTCTCACTAGGTAACCTGTTGATTTTTTCAGTCAACTATGTGACTATTTAGTCTACGCACCGAAATTTCCAGCCGCTGCTTCGCTTTTGTTTTTGTTTTTTTTTTTTTTTTTTTTTTTATATCAATTTGTATCAAAATTTGCTAACTAAAGATAATTTTAATAGTAACATTCAACGTGGCCATTTAAAAACTTTAGTTTTCCATCCCACTAACCCGCAAATTCAAAGTGCTTTAACGTTTTGCCACCATTGGAAATTTCTCTCCATTCACAATTTCATTATTCTTCTTCTTTTTTTCTCACTTTATTATTTTTTAAAGTTGATAAAAACAATGTACTGAACGGGGGGCAGCAAAGTTGTTTGGGATATATATAAAATATAAATAAGCATTATTGTAAAGAAAAAACATTTCTTTATATCCCACGACCCATCAATAGATATCCCAAGAAACAAATGACCAAACTAACCAACAACTCTCCCATATATATATGTACAACACAACTTCGTCCTTCTCATCAACGAACAAGAACCAAAACATGGCTTTCACTAAAATCTCCTTAGTCCTTTTCCTATGCATCTTAGGTCCTTGTAGAGGTGATGGAAACCCAAGAGACGGTGGCTCGGTCAGTACCATTGTGACACAAGGTTTCTTTAACAATATCATCAACCAAGCTGGTAATGGTTGTGCAGGAAGAAGATTCTACACTCGCAACTCTTTCATCGACGCTGCTACTACTTTCCCCAACTTTGCTAATTCCGTTACTAAACGTGAAATTGCTACCATGTTTGCTCATGTCACTCACGAGACCGGACGTAAGAATCTTTTCTTTCTTTACGTTTTTAATATATTATTTTTTTTCTTTGTAAAAATGAGTAAATTATTCTCAAAACCTATGGGTTGGGATGTTGCATTATTTGAGATAAAGCAATGGTGATGATAATGTTATTAATTGAGCTGATTATAAATACAATTTTTGTTTTTTTTTCATGTGACATATCTATGTATGTCGTATAGACTTGTGCTACATAGAAGAATCAAAGAAAAGGTCACGAGACAGGTGTGACGAGAACGTAGAGCAAAGACCATGTCCATTGCCGAGGAAAGGTAACTCCGGTCGTGGTCAGAGTCTCAGTCTCGACCTTCTACACCAGCCTGAGCTTGTGGGTAGCAACCTATCTGTAGCTTTAAGGAAGGGCTTGTCGTTTTGGATTAAGAGCGTAAGGCCTGTACTGAACCAAGGATTTGGAGCCACTATAAAAGCCATCAACGGAATTGAATGTAACGGTGGGGATTCAGGTGCGGTCCAGGCAAGGATTGGTTACTATAGAGACTATTGTAGACAGCTTGGTGTGGATCCTGGTCCTAACCTTAGTTGCTAAAACTTTCTTCAAGGCAATATCGCATACACGTAAAGTGGCACGTGTAGTTCTGTTTTTGCATCAAGTTGATTTTCTCTTGGTTAAGGTTAAATAAGGTGCTTAAGCTAAATATAATGGGGAAAATTAGCATTATAGTACATTTTCAAAACTTAATTTGTGATATAGTACATTTACTATTCAAAATTGGATAAATAGACAATGGGTGCACTATGTGAGATAGAGAATGTATGAGATAGATGAGAAAGTGGGGTATAGTGTAGTGGTGGTAAATTATAAAAGGGTAGATGTACAAAAGGCATCTGTACAATTCATTTGTACATATAATATGTGTACAGTTTGATCTGTACAATTGTATTTGTACATATATATCATATTGTACAAATACATGTATAATACAATATAATAGTCAATATACATACAATTATATCTATACATATATCATTGTATATAGTTTTTATACATACATTTTTCTGTACATATAATAAATATACAGTTTGATCTGTACAATTGTATTTGTACTTATATGCTATTGTACAAATACGTGTACAATCGTTTACGACTTGTATACTAATATTTGTACACTTATTAAGTTGTACAGATGTACATATGTACACGTTTTAAGTTGTACGAATTAGATCTGTACACTTAGTAAATTGTACATATCTAAAATTAATGAAAATTATTTGTTATTATCAAATAAAATCTTCAAACAAAATGCATATCATATAATAGAGAAAAAAACATAGATTTTTATATATTTGAAACTTGTAAAAAAAAAAATTTCATTGACTAGTATTTTAGTTTTTAGATTGAAGGGAGAATGTAATTAAAAAGAAAAAAGAAAAAAAAATAAATACTAATTAAAAATCTGAGAGGAAAAAAAAATATAATTTAATTATATATTAATGGCATTGTTGTAAATAAGATGTTTTGGTGAGGATTGACAAGGCAAAGAAATAAAATAGCATAGTAAAAATGTGGATTTTGCTAATTGTAAATAGTAATTGTACTATTTCTACAATTATGTTTCAAAAACTGTCTATTTCTCCAATTATTCCAATATAATGTTTCTTCTATTTTACTCGGATAATCTAGTGGCAACATTTTTTGTATGTATATCAGAAACTCAATGACTCTTATGTAGAATATGTTATGCAACTTGCTGCCATAAAAGCATGTATCAAGAAAATTTAACAAAGAAACAAAAGAGCTAGTACTAGTTGTTGTTTACAATGACTGTCTTTATGAACTCCATAACTGTTGAAACCAATTGACTTTGATATTTGGTATAACAATGATCAGCTCCTTCCACAATTTCTAGCTTGTGGTTTGGTATGATCTTAGCAAACTCCTTGGCATCTTCCACGGGTACTGTCTCGTCATCAGATCCATGAACCGTCATGACCCTGCCATTACATCAATCCTGGCTTGTTTATATATATCAAGTAAACATGAGTTCAAGAACTTAACTTAACTACTCTCACCTGCATTCTGTTTCAATCTTGAGGCAAGCTTCATGCATATCAGTGTTTAACCGGTCCATCAAACTCTCTTCGGTAACACGGTACCCAGAATCACCTAGTAACAAACCAGTACATTGATAGAAACATGAGAGAGTTATGATCTTATACAGTGCATGATATGAAAACCAAAGAGCTGATAACAGTACCATCTTTAACATCGATGTATCCTTGTTTCTTAATTCTTTCGAGGAAACCTTCCCCAAGACGCTCTTCTATGCCTTTCTTCAGATCATAACGTCCCGAGAGATTAATTACATTGGGGATATTGTGATACTTGGAGGCATAGAGAAGGACAACATCACCTCCTATGCAACTATAAGTTAAAGTGGAGAGTATATATATATGTTGCAATGTCACTTATCTAACAGTACTAGTTTACCTTTACTGTGTCCGAGAATTATAGTAACCACACGGTTTATGTTAGAGAAGTATTGGATAACAGAATGTAGATCATCAGCTTCATAATTGTAGTTACCATAATAGAAACTTCCTTCACTCTCTCTTGCAACAATGAAAGCACCACAACCCCAAAAATCAAAACATATACACCAAATTATACAAATCAATGAGAATTCAAGAAAGAGAAAAAATATATACCCATTCCCTGAGAAATCAAAACGGAATGCACTAATCCCTTCTTTCTCTATAGCAACAGCCACATTTTTCATGATTTCGAAGTTCTGCTTAACATTCATATGCCAAAGTGAAGACAAGTTAATTCATATGATATGTATTATGTATATTATACCATATTCTTGAAACCTTATAAGTTTTAGTATTAACCAAGACAAGCAGCTGGAAGAGTCTTTAGCTTCAAGATATATGAAGTTTGCTGTGAAAAAATCATATTGGATCAGCTAGCACACACACTAACCTTGTTAGATCTAAAGCCATGACACAAGACAACAATTTCTATAGAACCAGTTTCATGAAGCAGACCAACCAGCTTCTCATTGTGGCTATTTGGAATCACAATCCTCTGCTCTTGAATCCCCTGAGACGAATCCATTCTCAAGTGTTTTTTTTTGCTTTGTTGCACAAGATTTGATTGAGCTTAGTGGTTTAAGGCGAGCGTTATGAAATCAAAGATAATGTGGGACAAGGGGAAATTTTGTAAAAATATCTCTCAATTGATCATATTTTGGATTTTATCTATATAATTTCTAATTTATTTTTCATTGTAAATACAATTATTAACCAATTAAATAAAGATATCATTAGTCTTTAACTCTGTAATGTATATTATTAAATTGTTTGCTAAAGAAAAACAGTTATATCACTCAATACTTTTTTTTTCTTGTGTGTGGGTCGGTTACATTATCATCCAAATACTTTTAAATTCACTTTACGAACGTATAAAACTTCTAAAAAAATTTACCTACTAAACCTAATATTTAGTAAAACTAAATAAATAAATTGGTTAACATTTACATAATCCCCTGTTACATGTTAATACTTAATATTATATGAAACATAGTTTATATGCTAGTAGCTACAAAAGTACAAATTATAAAAGAAAGAAAAAATGTCATTTCTATAGAAAATGTATAAAGATGATTCAGCCACCGCATGATGTTCTGTAGACGTCGGTGGACTACTACCTTCTTTGATTTTTATTGTCGTTTTTGGCGGTAGACCACTACTTGACTAAACATTTTTGAAAAGTGTGGCATTTTATTTTATTATCCCTATTTTTGCTTCAAGTTGCATTATTTTATAACCAAAAGCTAAAGGCATTTTGCAATTGCTTCGTCTATGTATTCACTTTCCTACAAAATATGACAAACACCAAAAAAAAAAAAAAGTTCACCAACAAAAATGAGAAGCATGAGAGTGATTTTTTTACTTGCTTTCAACGCTCTCATGCTACTTAGTGCACATGGTTTTACCGATGAAACTGATAGGCACGCGTTGCTTGAATTCAAGTCTCAAGTTTCTAAAGGCAAGAGAGATGTCTTGTCCTCATGGAATCACTCTATCCCTCTCTGTAACTGGAAGGGGGTTACATGTAGCCGTAAAGACAAAAGAGTTACTCATCTTGAACTCGGAAGATTGCAATTAGGAGGAGTGATATCACCATCTATTGGTAATCTTTCGTTTCTTGTATCACTTGATCTTTATGAAAACTTTTTTGGTGGTACTATTCCTCAAGAGGTGGGAAACTTGTTTAGACTTGAATACTTGGATATGGGGGTAAATCTTCTGAGGGGACCTATTCCAAGTGGTCTATACAATTGTTCTAAGTTGTTGCACCTTCGTTTAGATTCAAATCATCTTGGAAATGGTGTTCCTTCAGAGCTAGGGTCGTTGAAGAATCTTGTTCAGTTAAATCTTTATGGTAACAATATGAGAGGAAAGATCCCTCCATCACTAGGAAACTTGACATCTTTACAACAACTTGCATTGTCACATAACAATCTTGAAGGAGAAATTCCTAGTGATGTAGCTAAATTGACTCAAATATGGAGTCTTCAGTTAGTAGCAAACAACTTCTCAGGTGCTTTTCCTCCAGCTCTCTACAACTTGTCCTCACTTAAACTTTTAGGCATTGGTTTTAATCATTTCTCCGGCCGCCTCAGACCTGACTTTGGTGTTCTGCTACCAAATCTTCTATCGTTTAATATGGGAGGGAATTATTTCACAGGATCCATTCCAAAAACACTTTCTAATATCTCTACTCTTGAAAGATTGGGAATGAATGAGAACAATTTGACAGGAAGTATTCCTACCTTTGGGAAAATTCCGAATTTGCAAATGTTATTTCTTCATACCAATTCTTTAGGAAGTGGTTCTTCCCAAGATCTTGAATTCCTCAGTTCTTTGACAAACTGCACCAAACTAGAGACCTTAGGGATTGGCCGAAATAGGCTTGGAGGTGAATTGCCTATTTCTATCACCAACCTATCCTCAAAACTCATAACTCTAGACCTTGGAGGAACCCTCATTTCCGGAAGAATCCCTCATGACATTGGAAATCTCATAAACTTACAAAAACTTATATTGGATCAAAACATGTTGACTGGACCAGTCCCAACCTCTCTTAGGAAACTTTTAAACTTGAGGTATTTAAGTCTATTTTCAAATAGATTATCAGGAGAGATACCCGCCTTTTTAGGCAACATCACTATGTTAGAAACACTAGATTTGTCCAACAATGGTTTTGAAGGTATTGTTCCCGCGAGTCTCGGGAACTGTAGTCACCTACTAGAGCTATGGATTGGGGATAATAAGTTGAATGGGACTATACCTCTAGAAATTATGAAAATTCGCCAACTTCTTCACCTAGACATGTCAGGAAACTCTTTGGTCGGCTCTCTGCCACAAGATATTGGACAGCTACAAAATCTTGCTACACTATCACTCGGGAATAATAAATTATCAGGAAAACTTCCAGAGACTTTGGGAAAATGTCTCACATTGGAAAACCTTTATCTGGAAAGAAATTTGTTTGATGGAGATATTCCAGATATAAAAGGGTTGGTTGGTGTTAAAGAAGTTGATTTGTCGAACAATGATCTCTCTGGAAGTATACCTGACTATCTTGCAAATTTTATCAAGTTGGAGTATCTCAATCTTTCTTTTAACAATTTTGAGGGGAAGATACCAAAAGAAGGAATATTTCAGAATACTACTATAGTTTCCATATTTGGAAACAGTGATCTATGTGGAGGCATTAGGGGATTTAAACTAAAGCCATGCCTCCCGCAAGCACTACCAGCGAAGACGAAGCGTTTCTCTCGTTTAAAGAAAACTGTAGTTGGTGTTAGCGTAGGCATAACTATGCTTTTGCTGCTGTGCATAGCTTTGATTTGGTTTAAGAAAAGAAAGAAGACTAAACAGACCAATGATCCAACTCCTTCTAGTTTGGAAGTCTTTCATGAGAAGATAAGTTATGGAGATCTCCAAAATGCGACAAATGGCTTCTCTTCGAACAATATGATCGGTTCGGGCAGTTTTGGTACTGTGTTTAAGGCATTGCTCCCAACAGAGAAAAAGGTTGTTGCAGTGAAAGTTTTGAACTTGCAGAGACGTGGAGCGATGAAGAGCTTTATAGCAGAATGTGAATCTTTAAAGGACATAAGGCATCGTAATCTTGTGAAACTATTGACAGCTTGTGCTAGTATTGATTTCCAAGGAAACGAATTCAGAGCTCTCATATATGAGTTCATGCCTAATGGAAGCTTGGATAAGTGGCTGCATCCAGAGGAAGTGGAAGAGATTCATAGACCTTCAAGAACCTTAACACTTCTTGAAAGGCTCAACATTGCCATAGACGTGGCTTCTGTTTTGGAGTATCTTCATGTTCATTGTCACGAGCGTATAGCTCATTGCGATCTTAAGCCAAGTAATGTTCTTTTAGACGATGATCTAACCGCCCATGTTAGTGACTTTGGTCTGGCTCGTCTTCTACTCAAATTCAACGAGGACTCCTTTCTCAACCAACTAAGCTCAGCTGGCGTTAGAGGAACTATAGGCTATGCCGCACCAGGTATACTATTAATTAACACATCTTGTAAAATTAGTATATCCATTATTTTATCATTTTAGTCTTGTTAACGTTTTTTTTTGTGAAATATGGTGCAGAATACGGAATGGGAGGACAACCATCAATTAATGGAGATGTGTATAGCTTTGGGGTTCTCCTTTTGGAAATGTTCACCGGAAAAAGACCAACCAATGAGTTATTTGGGGGAAACAGTACCTTACACAGCTACACCAAGTCGGCGTTGCCGGAAAGAGTATTAGAAATTGCAGATGAATCGATTCTTCACATTGGTCTCAGAGTAGGTTTCCCGATTGCTGAGTGCTTGACACTTGTATTGGAGATGGGGCTTAAGTGTTGTGAGGAATCTCCGACGAACCGTTTGGCAACGAGTGAAGCTGCAAAGGAGTTGATCTCAATCAGAGAGAGGTTTTTTAAAACCAAACGTTGAAGTGTTTATTGCTTATCTCTACAAACTTCGTAACTTTACACACTTAAAAGGTTTTAGCTGAGGCCTGTAAGACATCATTTTGTAGTTTCGTAAGCTGTGGTTTGTTTTTATCCTCTGTTTATGCTCTGTTTTGTGTTCAGACAAGATTGAATACTTGTGTATTTACCAGGCTAATGATAAAAATGACGTTGAACATAGATCACCGTTTTTGTTAACACATAATTCGTTACACACCGTGTATGTACCCTATATATTATCCAAATACTTAAACCATGATGTGAATATGTGATGAGGTTTACGTGCAAAACAATACCAATTTCTTATGAAAAAAAAAAAATTGTAAAAAGTATTTCTTACAACGTATAAAGTTTTTTAACTTTACCAATCAAACATTTTAATCTAGTAAATGGGTAAATTAGTCAACTGTAATTGAAAGTAAACGTCAACGTTGACGCCAAATAAAGAAGAACTTTGATTTGCTTTTTGTTTTCTTCTCTGAAATTATTACGATGTTGTCGGAACTAAACTATATTGGCACGAGAGCTGTCGTCAATTGGTTAATCACTTGACTTGGATGGCAAGAGTCTAAACCTCAAGAATTCTATGTACTGACACAGACAACTTATTATCACCATACAGTAACATGCAATTGTTCGTCCCTTTATACTCAGTTTGCTACGAAATTTAAGAAGCACAAAACAAAACTCTTACCCAAAAGACAAAAAACGAACTCTTAAGAAACATGAAACTGTTTCTTTCACTTGCTTTCGGTACTCTCATGTTACTTGAAGCTTATCGTCTAACTGACGAAACTGATAGGCAAGCGTTGTTGGAGTTCAAGTCTCAAGTTTCTCAAGGCAAGAAAGATGTGTTGTCCTCATGGAATAACTCGTTCCCTCTCTGTAGTTGGAAAGGGGTTAGATGCGGTCACAAGCACAAGAGAGTCACTCTTTTGGACCTCAACGGGTTGCAGTTAGGTGGGGTAATATCACCATCTATTGGTAATCTTTCTTTTCTCATATCACTTAAACTCTCTGATAACTCTTTTGGTGGTACCATCCCTCAAGAAGTTAGGAACTTGTTTAGGCTTAAACACTTGAATATGAGCTATAATTTTCTCGGAGGTGGGATTCCGGTCGGTCTTTTTAATTGCTCTAGATTGGTAGAGCTTTCTTTGTTTTCAAATCATCTTGGAGAAGGTGTTCCTTCAGAAATAGGGTCGTTGAGGAAGCTTGTTCTATTAGATCTTGGTCAGAACAACCTGAAAGGGAAGCTTCCTGCATCTTTAGGAAACTTGACCTCACTCATGGAAGTTAGCTTTACTGATAACAGTATAGAAGGGGAAGTTCCAGATGATATAGCTAGATTGACTCAGATGGAGGCTCTTCAGTTATCATCTAACAAATTCTCAGGCTCTTTTCCTCCCTCCATCTACAATTTGTCCTCATTGGTGTTTTTAAACATCTTTAGAAGCGGGTTCTCGGGTAGCCTAAAGCCTGATCTTGGTCATCTGCTGGCAAACCTTGAAGAGTTAACAATGGGAAGGAATTATTTCATAGGAGCCGTTCCGACAACACTTTCCAATATTTCTAGTCTTCAAACTTTGGGAATGGAGTATAACTTTCTAACAGGAAGTATTTCTCCAAGCTTTGGAAAAGTAACAAGTTTGCAACATCTGTCTTTTCTTGGTAATGATTTGGGTAGTCGCTCTGTTGGAGATCTTGATTTTTTTGGTGCTTTGACTAACTGCACCCAGCTCCAAGAGATAGATGTTGGTGATAACAAGCTTGGTGGTGACTTGCCTCCTTCAATTGCCAATTTGTCTACCAACTTGGTCTATCTAAGCATTCAAAAAAATCTCATCACTGGAAACATTCCCCATGACATTGGCAATCTCATAAGCCTACAAAGCCTTGGATTACATGAAAATCGGTTAACAGGTCCACTCCCAACCTCTATTGGTAAGCTTTTACAACTAGAGGGATTAAATCTCAATTCAAATAGAATATCAGGGGAGATACCAACTTCTCTAGGAAACATCACTCGATTAGACTTACTTTACTTGTTCAACAATAGTTTTGAAGGAGTAGTTCCGTCGAGTCTCAGTAAGTGTACCAACCTGAGAGTGTTGTGGCTAGGGTCTAATAAGTTGAATGGGAGTATACCTCGAGGAATAATGAAAATTCAGCGTCTTGTTCGCCTAGACATGTCGAATAATTACTTAATCGGTTCTCTGCCTGAAGATATTGGACAACTACAAAATCTTGTTACACTTTCACTTGGCGGTAATAAATTATCAGGGAAACTTCCAAAGACCTTGGGAAACTGTCTCACTATGGAAAATCTTTATCTGGAAAGAAATTTGTTTGATGGAGATATTCCAAATATGAAAAGGTTGGTTGGTGTTAAAAGAGTTGATTTGTCAAACAATCATCTCTCTGGAAGTATACATAGATACTTTGCAAGCTTTCCCTTGTTGGAGTATCTTAATCTCTCTGTTAACAAATTCGAAGGGACGGTGCCGATGGAAGGAAAATTTCTCAACTCTTCTATCGTTTTGGTATTTGGAAATCAAAAGCTTTGCGGAGGCATTAAGGAACTGAAGCTAAAGCCATGCCTCTCACAACAACTACTAGTGGAGAAAAAAGATTCCTCTCATTTCAAGAAAGTTGCATTTGGAGTAGGCGTTGGCATAGCTTTGCTTTTGCTCTTGTTCATAGCTTTAGCTTCTAGACGTTGGTTTAGAAAAAGAAAGAAGAACCAGCGGACCAATAATGCAGCTCCTTCCACATTGGAGATTTTCCATGAGAAGATAAGTTATGGAGATCTCCGAAATGCGACAGATGGTTTCTCTTCGAGCAATATTATCGGGTCAGGCAGTTTTGGTACTGTGTTTAAAGCATTGCTCCCGACAGAGAAAAAGGTTGTTGCAGTGAAAGTTCTGAACATGCAAAGACGTGGAGCGATGAAGAGCTTTACCGCAGAATGTGAATCTTTGAAGGACATAAGACATCGTAATCTTGTGAAACTATTGACAGCTTGTGCTAGTATTGATTTCCAAGGAAACGAATTCAGAGCTCTCATATATGAGTTCATGCCTAATGGAAGCTTGGATAAGTGGCTACACCCAGAGGAAGTCGAAGAGATCCATAGGCCCTCAAGAACCTTGACACTTCTTGAAAGGCTTAACATTGCCATAGACGTGGCTTCAGTGTTGGACTATCTTCATGTTCATTGTCATGAGCCTATAGCTCATTGCGATATTAAGCCAAGCAACATCCTTTTAGATGATGATTTAACTGGTCATATTAGTGACTTTGGTCTAGCTCGCCTCTTCCTCAAGTTTGATAAAGACTCCTTCCTCAATCAACTAAGCTCAGCTGGAGTCAGAGGAACCATCGGATATGCCGCTCCAGGTAAAAATAATCACACTTGTAATATTCAATGTACAAATTCAGTATATTTTCTTTTCATTTTCTTGTTGTTCTGTGAATTATCTTGTAGAATATGGAATGGGAGGACATCCATCAACATATGGTGACATATATAGCTTTGGGATTCTCCTTTTGGAAATGTTCACTGGAAAACGACCAACCAATGAGTTATTTGGGGGAAACTTTACCCTTAACAGCTACACCAAGTCGGCATTGCCAGAAAGAGTATTGGACATTTCAGACAAATCGATTCTTCATAGTGGTCTCAGAGTTGGCTTCCGTATTGCTGAGTGCTTGACACTGCTTTTGGAGGTGGGACTTAGGTGTTGTGAAGAATCTCCGGCGAACAGGTTGGCAACGAGTGAAGCTGCAAAGAATCTGATCTCAATCAGAGAGAGGTTCTTTAAAGCTAGAAGTTGAAGTGTCTATGGTTTTGTCTATAATATCATCTTTCATAATTTGCAGTCTATCTGTTAAACATATTAATGCTTGCAGAATATTGTTAATGAATGCTTGTATTATTTGCAGACAGTATAAGAATGTTTCATAATAACTTAGTAATCTTTAACGTTCCCAATTTTATTAGAGAATAAGACTTCTGATTCGTTCTTTCTTTTGCCATTGTGATCAGTCAAGATAAGTTATCACAACTTTGTTTGATTTTATTTATGAGGCTGATGTAACTTCAACATGCATTACAAACTTCCATGTTTTTAAAAGTGAATGTGTTCGTGATTGCATTGGTTAGGAAAGCAAATGTAACTCAATTCTAGTTGTTCTTCACAATAACAGTCTTTATGAACTCCATAACTGTTGAAACCAATTGACTCTGATGCTCAGTAAAACAATGATTAGCTCCTTCCACAATCTCCAGCTTGTGGTTCGGTATGATCTTCGCAAACTCCTTCGCATCTTCCACGGATATTACCTCATCACCCGATCCATGAACCGTCAAGACCCTGCCATTACAATCAATCGTGGCTTGTATATAAATACCTCAACAAACGATATGAGTTAGAGAGAAGTCCACAAATGTCACCTGCATTCTTTGTCAATCTTGAGGCAAGCTTCATGCATGTCAGTGTTTAACCTTTCAGTTAAGCTCTCCTCGGTAACACGGTATCCAGATTTTCCTGTAAAATATCAGAGCATTGATAGAGACACTGGAGTTTTGATCTGAGACAAAGCAGGAAAACTAAATGGCAATAACAATACCATCTCCAACATCAATGAATCCTTGTTGCTTAATCTTTTCCAAAAAGTCTTCCCCAAGACGCTCTCTGATGCCTTTTTTCAGTTCATAACGTCCCGAGAGATTGATTACATTGCGGATATCGTGATACTTGGAAGCATAGAGGAGGACCACATCACCTCCCTTACTGTGGCCGAGAATAATAGGAACCACACGGTTCATTTTAGAGAAGTACTGGATAACCGAATGTAAATCATCAGCTTCATGGCTATAATTACCATAATAGAAACTGCCCTCACTCTCTCTGCAACAATGTAAACCCCAAAATGAAATCAAAATTCATTTTCTTTCTTTCAATGATAACGCAAGAAAGAGAAACATACCCATTCCCAGAGAAATCAAAACGATAAGCGCTAATCCCTTCTTTCTCTATAGCCGCAGCCACATTATTCATAATTTGGTTGTTCTGCATAGTTTCACATGCCAAAGACAAGTTATTTCATATGTAACTCCTACCATGTTGTATAGATCATCTTCTACATGTTAGTGTTACTATCAACCAATACAGCATTGCTTACGAATTCTACAACCAGCTAACATAAATTGAACATGGAAGCTCACTGTGAGGAAAAAAGAAAGCACTTTTAAGAGATTTTGAACATATTGCAAACTGTAGTTAAGTGTTTCAGTCAATTAGTGATGTATATAACCTTCAAATCACAATAAAAGCCTTCAAGTCTTAGTATCTAACTCGGACAAAAGCAAACAGCTTGAAGTGTGCCATCAACATTCATACAAATTACAATCAAGAATCACCCATTATCTAATTCTATGAGTAAAAACAAAGAGAGTTCCAACACATTCAAGATGCAAAATGAACAAAATTGACATTAGATTGAACTAAAGGCAAAACCTTTAATCTCAGATCTCAGTCACTAGGAGATAAGAGAAAACAGAGTAAACAAAAAGGTTGCAGCTTTACATTAGTGAATCACTAGGATTCCAGATTCATAACTCGATTAAGGGTAAGTGAGCAAAATAAACTCTAACCTTGTTAGATCGAAAACCATGGCACAAGACAACGATTTCTTTAGAACCAGTATCATGAAGCAGACCTACAAGCTTCTCGTTGTGGCTGTTCGGAATCACAATCTTCTGTTGTGCACAGGCTGAAAACAAATACATGAATTTTCAACATTATGGTAATCGAAAAGGGCGCCATTGTTATACATACCTGAAATCCCCTGAGAAGAATCCATCCTCAAGTTTTTTGCTTTCTTGCAGAAGATTTGGTTGTTGTTAATGGGAAGGCCAACGTTGAAGAAGGGTAGTGTTAGAAAAGGGGATGTTTTGTAAAATAGAGAATCTTGTGGAGTGAAATTGAAGTTATGTGAAAGAGTCCTCATCTGTGCTGTTTCTCATATCGTATCCATGGAATGAGGATGGATTAGTTGATTTTTAAAATAAGAAAACGAAAATGACTAAAACATCCTTTATTATCTTTAAGAGATGCCAAAATTAATATTTGGACTAATGGCTTGGTAACATGAAATTACAAGCTTTTAATTTTGTAGTTTGTAATTTTGTATATGTTCCAGCGATAATATTTATAGGAAAAATTGATTTTAAAGGATATTTTTTTTTCTAATTTGTCCATCTATGCTTTTTTTCAAAGTTTGGTATATTAGGTTTTAGAATAGAAAAATATTCAATTATACCCTTAGTTTGATTTTATGAAAATAAAAGTAAAAAATTTATTGTATAAATAGAATGAAAAAATTAAGAAAATATTCCTTTAATCTTTACAAAATTAGAATATATATATTTTTATCCTTTTTACAAAGTTTTTCTTCTTCGAAATTGAACCAATTGTTTTGAGTTTTTTTTGCTCGTAAGAGTATCTAGTTATCTGATATAAGTTATTCAATAAACACTAATTAATACGCAGAATTCATAATCTAATATCTTCAGAATACAAAAAATGTATTCTAAATATTTTAAAATGATTTTTTCAATGTCAAAATCAAAATATTTTCATCCAAAACTCTTTTTTCTAACTTTAAATATTATTATTCTTTATTTGTTGATATATTTTTACTTTAATTTTTTTTTTAATGAGATTTTATTTATTTAAAATGGTAGTTTAGGTATGACTGACAATTTATTGGAGAAGACTTAGATGGACAAATTCAAAAAAAAAATCCTTTTAAATCAAAACCCCCATATTTATAAACTCTGAATTAAGAAGACTAATTTTGGCGAAAATTAAGGGGACTAATTGTGAGGAATTCCCTAATTGTGATGATATCTAAAACTTAAGAGCCATTTATCATGAATCCATAGTAATATTTTCCCAAGTCACACACTAATGACTAATCACTTTGCTTAACATCTAGAACAAAAGTTTTTTAAATGATTTGGAACCACTAATTACAAAAATAACCATTAGCTCTTTTTTCAATATTCGTTGAGCACTTGCCGTTTTTAATAGCAAAAAACACCACACAGTTCATCCATCATTCAGAAGTCCAAAAGTCACCTTCTTCAAACTCTTTCCCCCACTAGGTTTGAACTTTTTTGAATCAACCTATTTAACTTTTGTTCTTCAATTGTTTCATTTACAGATTCTTCTAAAACTATTTTGTAATAATAAAACACTAAACTTGCTCTATATTTGGAGGTTGTCCAAAGAGACTAAAGAGATATGCTTTAAAATATGCTCTGTTTTTGAATTTTGATGACGCTGTCATCGAGTTTTTTTCTCCGGTCAAGGTAATCAAACTGTGAGAAAAAGTCAACATAATGACACAGACATTTACTTCTCTTTGGCAAAAAAAAAAGTCTTTGAAATGCATTTGCTTCTATTTTCTTCAACAAGTTGCATTACCTGCAAGTAATGGCAAGTATGAGACAATTCCTTTTGCCGTCTTTCGTTTCTCTCTTGTTGTTACTTGAAACATTTTGTTATACAGATGGTGATGAGACTGATAAGCAAGCGTTGCTGGGGTTCAAGTCTCAGGTTTCTGTTGACAAAAGAGCTCTCTTGTCCTCATGGAATCAATCATTCCCTCTCTGCAACTGGACTGGAGTTACATGTGGCCGCAAACACAAGAGAGTTACACGTTTAGACCTTGGAGGATTGCGATTAGGCGGAGTGATATCACCATCTATTGGTAATCTTTCTTTTCTCATATCACTTAATCTCTCTGATAACTCTTTTGGTGGTACCATTCCACAAGAGGTTGGAAACTTGTTCAGACTTAAGTACTTGTTTATGAGCTTCAATTTTCTCAGAGGAGGAGTTCCAATTTCTCTATTTAATTGTTCTCGGTTGGTGGAGATTTTCTTATTTTCAAATAATCTTTGAGGAGGTGTTCCTTCAGGAGTAGGGTCATTGACAAAGCTTCGTACTTTAGATCTTGGTAAAAACAACCTTGAAGGGAAGCTTCCTGCATCTCTAGGAAACTTGACACTACTCATGCAAGTTAGTGTCACCAATAACAATATGGAAGGAGAGGTTCCGGATGATATAGCTAGATTGGCTCAAATGGTGGCTATTGATTTATCACTGAACAACTTCTCAGGTTTCTTTCCTCCCTCCATCTACAACTGGTCCTCAATTGAGTTTTTAAACATCTTTGGTAATGGCTTCTCGGGTAGCCTGAGGAATGATTTTGGTAATCTCCTACCAAAACTCCGAGAGGTGTATATGGGAACAAATTATTTAACAGGAGCCATTCCAGCTACACTTCCCAATATCTCAAATCTTCAAGGATTGAGGATGGAGTATAACAATCTGAGAGGAAGTATTTCTCCAAGCTTTGGGAAAGTAGAGAAGCTGCAAATCCTAGCACTTCAAAGTAATGGTTTTGGAAGTTACTCTTTTGGAGATCTTGATTTTATTGGTGCTTTGAATAACTGCACCAAACTACAAAGATTATATGCTGGTCAAAATAGGTTGGGAGGTGACTTGCCTACCTCTGTTACCAATCTTTCCACAAAGCTCATCACTCTAGACCTTGGAACAAATCTCATCTCTGGAACCATTCCTCGTGACATTGGGAATCTTATAAGCCTACAAACACTTTGGTTGCAGGAAAATTTGTTGACTGGACCACTCCCAACCTCTCTTGGGAGGGTTTCAGAACTAGGGGAATTAATAGTATTTTCAAATAGAATGTTAGGTGAGATACCATCTTCTATAGGCAACCTCACTCAGCTACAAAGACTCCTTTTATACAACAATAGTTTTCAAGGAATTATTCCTCCAAGTCTCGGTAACTGTAGGTACTTGGGACAATTGTTGATAGGGTCTAATAAGTTGAATGGGAGTATACCTAACGAAATTATGAAAATTCAGCCCCTTGTTCGCCTTAACATGTCTGGTAATTCCTTGATCGGCACTCTGTCAGAAGATATTGGAAAACTACAAAATCTTGTTACACTATCACTTGGGAATAATAAATTATCAGGACATCTCCCACAAGCCTTAGGGAAGTGTCTTTCTATAGAAGTCTTTATCTTCAAGAAAATTCTTTTGTTGGAAATCTTCCAGATATAAAAGGGTTGGTGGGTGTTAAAAAGGTTGATTTTTCGAACAATAATTTCTCTGGAAGTATACCTGAATACTTTTCAAACTTCTCCTCGTTAGAGTATCTCAATCTATCCGCTAACAATCTTGAAGGAAGGGTTCCAGAAGAAGGAAAGTTTCAGAATTCTACTATTGTTTCGGTATTTGGAAACAAAAATCTTTGTGGAGGCATCGAGGAACTGAAACTAAAACCATGCTTAGAACAAGTACCAGTAGTGGATACTAAGCATTCGTCTCATCTGAAGAAAGTTGCAGTTGGACTAAGCGTAGGCATAGCCTTGCTTTTGTTTCTCTACGGTTGTTCAACAGAAGAAAGAAGAAGCAGCAAAGCAATAATCAAACTCCTTCCACTTTAGGGGCATTCCATGAAAATATGAGCTATGGAGATCTCCGAAATGCGAAAAATGGCTTCTCTTCGAGCAATATTGTTGGCTCGGGCAGTTTTGGCACTGTGTTTAAGGCATTTCTCCCGACTGAGAACAAAGTTGTTGCGGTGAAAGTTCTAAACCTACAGAGACGTGGAGCGATGAAGAGCTTTATGTCAGAATGTGAGTCTTTGAAGAACATAAGACATCGTAATCTTGTGAAACTATTGACATCTTGTGCTGGTATTGATTTCCAAGGAAACGAATTTAGAGCTCTCATATATGATTTCATGTCGAATGGTACCTTGGATATGTGGTTGCACCCTGAGGAAGTCGAAAAGATTTGTAGTCCGTTAAGAGCCTTAACACTTCTTGAAGGCTTAACATTGCCATAGATGTGGCTTCCGTTTTAGAGTATCTTCATGTCCATTGTCATGAGCCTATAGCTCATTGTGATCTTAAGCCAAGCAATGTCCTCCTAGACAATGATTTGACTGCCCATGTTAGCGACTTTGGTCTTGCTCAGCTTCTCCTCAAATTCGATACAGAGTCCTTCCTCAACAACCTAAGCTCCGCCGGCGTAAGAGGGACCATCGGCTATGCTGCACCTGGTAAGCTATCACACATTTGTAAAACTGAATAAATTGAAGTTGGTGTACTCTCTAATCATTGAAATGTTTTTATTGTTGTTTATGTAATATATGGAGCAGAATATGGAATGGGAGGACAACCATCAATACATGGTGATGTTTATAGCTTTGGGGTTCTCGTTTTGGAAATGTTCACTGGGAAAAGACCAACCAATGAGTTATTTGGTGGAAACTTTACCTTACACAGCTACACCAAGTCTGCGTTGCCGGAAAGAGTATTGGAGATTGCAGATGAATCGATTCTTGACAATAATCTTAGAGTCGGTTTCCCTGTTGCAGAGTGCTTGACACTAGTTTTGGAAGTGGGACTTAGGTGTTGTGAAGAATCTCCTACGAACCGGTTGGCAACAAGTGAAGCCACAAAAGAGTTAATCTCAATCAGGGAAAGGTTCTTTAAAGTGAGACATTGAAGTGTTTATGCTTTCCTCTAGCTACAACCTACAAACATGGCAACCCACTTAACTTCATGTGAGATCTATATAATATTTGTGTTCTAAATTCTTAGAAACATACTAAGAAGGCTTTGCACAATATTGTTAATGAATGTTTGTGTTATATGCAGACGATGTATGAATGCATGTATACCAGCTTTATACTTTTCCTCATCCCTCAATTTTCTATTAGGTTTTTCTCAGTTTTCTTAGGGGAAAGTTATGGTTTTTCTGTGTTTGTGTTTTCTTTTGCATAGTGATCATCCGAATGATCAAGAGAAGTAATTCTACTAATGAGGCTGATCTTAGCTTAAAACAGAGAGATTGTAGACAGAGATTGGCTGCAGGCCTGCAGCGTCTTGATACCCCCATTGAGGATGCCCTAAGTACGGACTGTATAGTCAAAATCCTTAATGCAATTTTTAATCCTCACTATATTTATCATCTCAAACAATATATACGTATAGTGAAAGTTATATCTTGAACTATTGATTTGATACAAAACTTTTCAAAAATGAAATATAATATTTTTTTGGTCTCTTAGGACAAAAGTAAAGGTTGAAGCCTGGCCAAAAAAAAAGTCTTTCACTAAAGGTGTTGGTGATTGTATTGGTAAATAAAGCAAATTTAATTGTTGTTCTTTACAATGACTGTCTTTTTGAACTCCATAACTGTTGAAACTAAGTTCCTTCCACAATCTCCAGTAGGTGCTAGGTAGATGATCCATGAACCGTCAAGATTACAAATAGACACTCCCGTAGCGCCGTGGCACAAGACTACAATTTTTGTGGAACCAGTTTCTTTCATGAAGCAGACCCGCCAGCTTCTCGTTGTGGCTCTGTTCGGAATCACGATCCTCTGTTCTTGAATCCCCTGAGATGAATCCATTTTCAACTTCTTTGCTTTGTTGCAAGAGTCTAGAGGTTTAATTGTTCTTGATGGGAAGGCAAACGAACCGATTGGCAAATGGCAACCAGTGAAACCACAAAAGAGTTAACCTCAATCAGAGAGAGGTTCTTTCTTGTTCGGAAGAGCAAGAAAACCTTGAAGTGTTTATGGTTTTGTCTTAAAACATATATCTTCTTTCATGATTTGTGGTTTTACTCAGTACATACTTATGCTCGCAGAATATTCTTAGTGACTGTATAGTGTTATTTCATATTTGTAGACAATAGATGACTGTTGTGCCCAATGCTACAGTATTTGGATTTTCTCTGTTTTTATGTGTTTATGCTTCGTTTTTCCTCAATGATCAGTTTGAGGTTTTTATAAAAATCTGGACGACCAAGATATGTTTTGAAGACAGTGCGTAGTAGTAGTGAACAAGTTAGGTTCCTAATAATTTATCTTTTGGTATTCTTTTTACTTGGTACACAAGTTACTGATCTAACTGATTTAGACAGTCCCATATATATGTATGAACTGCGAATGATTTGATGACTTCATTGATCGATCAGTCTTTTGTTAATGATAAAAGAAGTGTTTTTTTTTTTTGGATAAATATCTGAAAGGAGAATTTTGTAACGTGTGTTTTTGATCAAGTCATCTTGGTTTGGTGCTTGGATACATAGTGATATTTCAAGGTTTAGGTTATATAACACGTCTCTCGTAGGTCAAGACAGATAGGTCAAGATCCAAGTGATCTGTTTGGATGATGCTTCTCATAAATAATTTGGTCCAAGAAATCAACCCGTGAAGAAATTTTGATATATATATATATCCAAACCGATATATATATCCAAACCGTGTTTTTCTTTGAGATCTACGAACGTTCAGTTATAAAATAAGCTAGTTCGGAGTGATGAATACAAGACTTAGTCAATTTGTTGAATTCTTAATTCGTAAACCGACAATGTATACAGCAAAGTCGTGAAATGGTTTTGTCTTTTTTAGAAAAGCTACTTGACTTTCATTGCAACATGGTTTGTAAACATTAACTAATGCATTTAATTTGTATACTCTTTCAGTTTTTTTTTTCTTTCTATAGAAAGCCATTAATGTAATCATTCAAGTAGCATTATCACTACAAGATGAAGGCATTTTGCAATTGCTTCGTCCCTTATATCACTTTCTTTGCAAAAGAACTCCACAATCTTTGAACCAATAAGAGAGAAAAAAAGTAGAAGCATGAGACTGTTGTTTCTCTTACTTAACGCTCTCATGTTACTTAAAGCATATGGTATTATTACTGATGAAACTGATAGACAAGCCTTGCTGGAGATGAAGTCTCGAGTTTCTGAAGAGAGAAAAGTTGTCTTGTCCTCATGGAACAACTCATTCCCACTTTGCAACTGGAAGGGGGTTACATGTGGCCGCAAACACAAGAGAGTGACTAGTTTGGACCTACGAGGATTGCAATTGGGAGGAGTAATATCACCATCTATTGGTAATCTTTCTTTTCTCATATCGCTTAATCTCTCTGGAAACTCTTTTGGTGGTACCATTCCACAAGAGGTGGGAAAGTTGTATAGACTTGAACGATTGGATATGAGCTTAAACTTTCTAGGAGGAAGGATTCCAACGAGTCTGTCTAATTGCTCAAGATTGCTGTATCTTTATTTATATTCGAATCATCTTGGAGAAAGTGTTCCTTTAGAACTAGGGTCGTTGAAGAAACTTGTTAGTTTAAATTTTGGTCGGAACAACCTGGAAGGAACACTCCCCGCATCTATAGGAAACTTGACATCCCTTGTATATCTTAACTTTGGAATTAATGATATACAAGGAGGTATTCCAGATGGTATAGCTAGAATGACTCAGTTGGTGGGTCTTGAAATATCAGGGAATAATTTCTCAGGTGTTTTTCCTCCTGCTATCTACAACGTGTCTTCACTTGAGCTTTTATACATGTTTAGTAATGGCTTTTGGGGTGATCTGAGGCCTGATTTTGGTAACTTGTTACCAAACCTTAAAGCGCTAACCATGGGGGATAATCATTTCTCTGGAGCCATTCCAACTACACTTCCCAATATTTCGAATCTTCAAGAATTCGGAACAGAGTCTAATAATTTTACGGGAAGTATTCCTCCGAGCTTTGGTAAACTAAGAAACTTGCAGTATCTGTCTCTTCTTGGTAATTCTTTGGGAAGTGGTTCGTTTGGAGATCTTGAGTTTCTTGGTGCTTTGACTAATTGTACCCAACTACAAGTGTTAGATGTTGGTGACAACAAGTTTGGTGGTGACTTGCCTACTTCCATTGCCAATATGTCCAAGAACCTCAACTATTTAAGCCTTCAAAAAAATCTCATCTCTGGAAACATTCCTCATGACATTGGAAATCTCATAAGCCTACAATCATTTGGGTTGAACGAAAATATGTTGACAGGACCACTCCCAACCTCTCTTGGTAAGCTTTTAGGATTGGGGGAACTAAGTGTCCACTCAAATAGAATGTCAGGAGAGATACCATCTTCTTTAGGCAACCTCACTTTGTTACAAAGACTTTATCTGTTCAACAATATTTTTGAAGGGACTCTTCCTCCGAGTCTTGGTGATTGTGTTCATATGCTCGATTTACGGATTGGCTATAATAAGTTGAATGGGGATATACCTAAAAGCATTATGCAAATCCCAACACTTGTTACCCTAGGATTGTCAAATAATTCATTATCTGGTTCTCTACCAAATGATGTTGGAAAATTACAAAATCTTGTTGTGTTATCACTTGGGAATAATAAATTGTCGGGACAAATCCCACAGACGTTGGGAAAATGTCTCTCGATGGAACAACTTTATCTGCAAGGAAATGATTTTGATGGAGATATTCCAAATATAAAAGGGTTGGTGGGTGTTAAAAGACTCGATTTCTCAAACAATAATCTCTCTGGAGGTATACCTGAGTATTTTGCAAACTTCTCTTCGTTGGAGTATCTCAATCTATCTTTTAATAATTTTGAGGGAAGGGTGCCAGAAGAAGGAAAATTTCAGAATGCTACTATAGTTTCAGTGTTTGGAAACAAGAATCTATGTGGAGGCATTAGAGAGCTGCAACTTAAGCTATGTCTCGCGCAAGCAACACCAAATGAGACAAACCATTCCTCTCGTTTGAAGAAAGTTGTGATTGGTGTCTGCATAGGCATAGCTTTGCTTTTGTTGTTGATCATAGTCGTAGTTTCTCTGTGGTTAAGAAAAAGAAAGAAGAAACAGATTAATAATCAGACTTCTTCCTCGTTGGGGGACTTCCATGTAAAGATAAGCTATGGAGATCTCCGGGACGCGACAAATGGATTCTCTTCAAGCAATTTGATTGGCTCAGGCAGTTTTGGTACTGTGTTTAAGGCATTGCTCCCCACGGAAAAAAATGTTGTTGCGGTGAAAGTTCTAAACTTGCAGAGACATGGAGCAATGAAGAGTTTTATGGCAGAATGTGAATCTTTGAAGGATATTAGGCATCGTAATCTTGTGAAACTGTTAACTTCTTGTTCGAGTATCGATTTCCAAGGAAACGAATTCAGAGCTCTCGTATATGAGTTCATGCCTAATGGAAGCTTGGATATGTGGCTGCACCCAGTGGAAGTCGAAGAGATTCGTAGGCCCTCAAGAACCTTGACACTTCTTGAAAGACTCAACATTGCTATAGACGTGGCCTCTGCTTTGGACTATCTTCATGTTCATTGTCATGAACCTATAGCCCATTGTGATCTTAAGCCAAGCAACGTCCTCCTAGATGATGATTTGACTGCTCATGTTAGCGACTTTGGTTTGGCTCGAATTCTCCTCAAGTTCGACCAGGAGTCTTTCTTCAACCAACTAAGTTCAGCTGGCGTAAGAGGAACCATCGGCTATGCTGCACCAGGTAAAACCATTACACATCTATTAAGAAAATCAGTATATTATATTTGCATTAAAACCTTGTTGTTGTTGTTTTTGTGAATTATTGTGCAGAATATGGAATGGGAAGGCAGCCTTCAATACATGGTGATGTGTATAGCTTTGGGATTCTCCTTTTGGAAATGTTCACTGGAAAACGACCAACCAATGAGTTATTTGGTGGAAACTTCACCCTGCACAACTACACCAAATCGGCGTTGCCAGAGAAAGTCTTGGACATTGTCGACGTATCAATTCTTCACAGCGGTCTCAGAGTCGGTTTCCCTGTGTCTGAGTGCTTGACAATGGTTTTGGAATTGGGACTTAAGTGCTGTGGAGAATCCCCGATCAACCGGTTGGCGATGAGTGAAGCTGCAAAAGAGTTAATCTCAATCAGAGAGAGGTTCTTTCAAACCAGAAGAACAGCCAGACGTTGAAGTGATTATGGTTTCTTCTACAGACTTTGCTACCTATGAAATAAAGGCTCGTTCTCATCAGGCCTATCTAGCTAATGTCATAATCTCTTCTTCATTAATTCGTGTTTTCATTTTTTTTTTTTTTACCTCTATGTAAGTGTAACGTACCTATGCTTGCAGAATATTATCCAGAAATGCTCTGTTTTTTGGAAGACAAAATAACGAAAAGATGTGTTTTAAGCCATTATAAATACAACTATCCATCAAAATCGTTATTGGCTTGGTTTTAGCTTTTAAAACGTCAAAACTCAAAAGTGTGCATAATTTTGTTTGGGTATATCTTATTCTTGGATTTGCTAAAACATTTTAAGGATAGGTGTAAATCTTAAATAAATATTTAAAATGTTTTAAACATAAATATTTAAAATGTTTTAAACATAAATATTTAAAATGTTTAAAACATTTAAAACATCGAAATAAATCATACCTATTCCAATTAAGTTACTTATCCCAAATGGTATCATTCAACCTTCTACATATCAGAGAACTCAAAAAAAAAAAAAAAAAAAAAGTCAACGAGTTGGGTGTGAGACAGTGATACACTAAAATCTGCAAGGTGGCTAAGGTAAAGCATCTCTACTTGGATCATGCTCGTTGTGCTTCACAGGCACAAGTCAAACACTCTCATTTTCTTCTGCATTTAATTCTCCTGTTAATAGCTTTATCATTTTTATTTGATTTACATTTCCTATGAACCACTAGATTTTGCCTCCTACATATAAACTCGGATGCAAAACTAGATTTTCGTCTTTAATTTTCTTAAAACAACATGTTATCAGATATTATATAGTATATTTATCTAATGTCATACTTCTTCATTAGTATGTGGCTTTCTCTTTCTTTTTTTGCCACTATGTAACGTACCTATGTTTGCAGAATATTGTCTGGAAATGCTCTGTTATTTTGTATACAAAAATACGTAAAGGCCAATAATAATTAAATCATCGAACGTTGGAGTCGAATCAAAATTTAATGAGTGTGATATAATTTAGTTTTGAAGTTGAAGACGTTTTAAAAAGTGTGCACATCCATCATCCATCATCCATGGGTAAGCGAATTCTATAAGACGTATTTACATGCTTTGATATATCTATTGATTGCTAAAATCTTGAGCTTCTAGTACTCTGTTTAATGAGTATATTCATCACTAGCTTAAGGTCTAAAATGAGTAACATCTCTAGAGAAAAACCCCAAAAAATAATAATAATGGAAGGGATAATGCAACGTTTAAAAAGCAGCAAATCATTTCCTCTCTGATGCATACGTTATGAGTTTAAGCAACACACATGTCAACGTTCATGCCAAAACAAATTACTCTGTTCATATCATAAACCCAACATGTGTATAGATACGTCTTAGACAGTTGACTTCTTGACTTTGAAAGAGTCTAGACGGCAAGATTGAAGAGTTCATGTCATTTTCGGAAATGTCTCTTTTGCTTCGTCCTTTATAATCACTTTCCTACGGATTATGAGAACCTCCAAAAGCTTCAAAAAAGGTAAAAATATATATATAACAAAGAAACAAAACTTGAAAATCATGACACGATTGTTTCTATTACTTGCTTTCAGTGCTCTCATGCTACTTGAAGCATATCGTTTTACTGATGAAACTGATAGGCAAGCGTTGTTGGAGTTCAAGTCTCAAGTTTCTCAAGACAAAAGAGATGTGTTGTCCTCATGGAATCACTCTTTCCCTCTTTGTATACAAAGAGAGTTACATGTGGCCGCAGACACAAGAGAGTTACACGTTTAGACCTTGGAGGATTGCAATTAGGAGGAGTGATATCACCATCTATTGGTAATCTTTCGTTTCTCATATCACTTAATCTCTCTGATAACTCTTTTGGTGGTACCATTCCTCAAGAACTTGGAAACTTGTTTACACTTCAACACTTGTTTATGAGTTTGAATTTTATACGAGGACGGATTCCAATTACTCTATAAAACTGCTCTAGATTGTTGAACCTTCGATTATATTCAAATAATCTTGGAGATGGTGTTCCTTCAGAACTAGGGTCATTAACAAGACTTGTTACTTTATATCTTGGACGAAACAACCTCCAAGGGAAGCTTCCCGCGTGGCTAGGTAACTTAACATCAGTCAGATATCTTGGCTTTGGAGGTAACAATCTACAAGGAGGAGTTCCAGATAGTATGGCTAGATTGACTCAACTGATGCATCTTGAATTGTCCACCAACAACTTCTCAGGTGTTTTTCCTCCCGTAATCTACAATATATCCTCACTTCTGTGGTTAAACATCTTTCAAAATGGTTTCTCGGGTAGCTTGAGGCCTGAGTTTGGTAATTTGTTACCAAAGCTTCAAGAGATATATATGGGAAACAATGATTTCACTGGTGCCATCCCAACATCACTTGCTAATATCTCAAATCTTCAAACTTTTCGAATGGAGTATAATAATCTTACGGGAAGTGTTCCTGTGAGCTTTGGAAAACTACGGAATTTGAAGTCTCTATCTTTTCTTGGTAATTATTTGGGATGTCACTCTTCTAGAGATCTTGAATTTCTTGGTGCTCTGACTAACTGCACCAAACTAGAAGAGTTAGATGTAAGTGGAAATAGGTTGGAGGGTGACTTGCCTAACTCCATTGCCAATTTTTCAAGGAAGCTCATCTCTTTACACCTTGGAAACAATCTCATATCTGGAACCATTCCTCATGATATAGGGAATCTTATAAACCTACAAACACTTACCTTGGCGAAAAATCTATTGACAGGAATACTCCCAAACTCCCTTGGGAAGTTAGTAGACTTGGGAGAAGTTTCTTTCAATTCAAATAAACTGTCTGGAGAGATACCATCTTCTATAGGAAACATCACTCGTTTAGAACAACTTTATTTGTCCAACAATAGTTTTGAAGGAACTATTCCGCCGAGTCTTGGAAATTGTAGTCACTTGTTAGACTTACGGATTGGTTATAATAAGTTATATGGAGCTATACCAAAGGAAGTTATGCAAATCCCAACCCTTGTTTATCTAAGCATTACTGGGAATTATTTGACTGGTGTTCTACCAAGTGATGTTGGAAGACTACAAAATCTTCTTTTACTATCACTTGGGAAGAATAACTTATCAGGGCAACTCCCACAAGCCTTGGGAAAATGTTTTTCGATGGAACGTTTATATCTTCAAGGTAATTCTTTTGATGGAGATATTCCGGATATTAAAGGGTTAGTGGGTGTTACAAGAGTTGATTTCTCTAACAATGATCTTTCTGGAAGTATACCTGGATACTTTGCAAACTTTGCTTTGTTAGAGTATTTAAATTTATCTTTTAACAAGTTCGAGGGAAAAGTGCCTACAGAAGGAAAATTTCAGAACTCTACTGTAGTTTCAGTATTTGGAAACAAAAATCTATGTGGAGGCATCAAGGAGTTTCAACTAAAGCCTTGCCGAGCGGAGACAAGGCATTCGTCTCATTTAAGAAAAGTTGCAATTGGAGTGAGTGTAGGTGTAACTTCACTTTTGATGTTGTTCATTGCTTTAGTTTCTCTGATTTGGTTCAGAAAAAGAAAGAAGAACCAACATACCGATAATACAGTTCCTTCCACATTGGAGATATTCCATGAGAAGATAAGTTATAGAGACCTCCGAAATGCGACAGATGGCTTCTCTTTGAGCAATATGGTTGGATCAGGCAGTTTTGGTACTGTGTTTAAGGCATTGCTCCCGACTGAGAACAAGATTGTTGCAGTGAAAGTTTTGAACCTGCAAAGACATGGAGCGATGAAGAGCTTTATGGCGGAATGTGAATCTTTAAAGGACATAAGGCATCGTAATCTTGTGAAACTATTGACAGCTTGCGCTAGTGTTGATTTTCAAGGAAACGAATTTAGAGCTCTCATATATGAGTTCATGCCTAATGGAAGCTTGGATATGTGGCTGCACCCAAGGGAAGTGGAAGAGATTCGTAGGCCCTTAAGATCCTTGACACTTCTTGAAAGGATCAACATTGCGATAGACGTGGCTTCGGCTTTGGATTATCTTCATGTTCATAGTCTTGAGCCTATAGCTCATTGCGATCTTAAGCCAAGCAATGTCCTTTTAGACGATGATCTAACTGCCCACGTTAGCGACTTTGGTCTGTCTCGGCTTCTTTTCAAATTCGAAAAGGAGTCCTTCTTTAACCAACTAAGCTCAGGTGGTGTTAGAGGAACCATCGGCTATGCCGCACCAGGTATATATCACACATTCTTTAATGTTATATGAAGAAATCAGTATATTCTTTTTGACACTACAATCTTCTTGTTTTTGTTTTCTGTGAAATATGGTGCAGAATATGGAATCGGAGGGCAGCCTTCAATACAGGGGATGTGTATAGCTTTGGGGTTCTCATTTTGGAAATGTTCACTGGAAAAAGACCAACGAGTGAATTATTTGGGGGAAACGTTACCTTACACAGCTACACCAAATCAGCGTTGTCGGAAAGAGTATTGGACATTGTAGACGAATCGATTCTTCACAGTGGTCTTAGAGCCGGTTTCCCAATTACTGAGTGCTTGATATTAGTTTTTGAGATGGGACTTAGGTGCTGTGAAGAATCACCTACAAATCGGTTGGCAATGATGAGTGAAGTTCTCAAAGAATTAGTATCAATCAAGGAGAGGTTCTTCAGAGACAACAGGACAGCTCGACGTTGAAGTGAAATATAGGCTCATTCTGTTCACGGCCTATATAATTTCTTCTTATAATGTGTGGTTTTGTTCTTTTTCTCATACTTATGCTTACAGAATATTGAACTTCTCTATTGCTCTGTTTTTTGGCCATTAGGCTAATGGCCTTGTCTCACTCTTTCTTGCGTTCACCTATAAATTGGTGATTCTTCTTCCTTGATCATTGGTTAAAGATTTGATCACACTTGTCTTAAAATGACTCCACAAAAAAAACGTTACTTGGGACGTACGTAGGTAATTTGTTTTACAAAATTAGCCGTATGCGGGTAGACATGTGCATGGTTTTCTCGGTTAAACTCATTTTTAGGGTCGGTTACAGTTTATTTTTTTTTCAGGTTCTGGAAAAAAAACAAGGTCTAAATAAAACCCAATATCTTTATTAAAAACACTGAAATAAATCATATTTATTACTACTAATAAATTATTTATCCCAAATGGTATCATTCATCCTTCTACATATCAGAGAACTCAGAAAATAAATAAGTCAACGAGTTGGGTGTGAGACAGTGTTTTACTTGGAGGTGGCTAAGGTAAAGCATCTCTACTTGGATCATGCTCGTTGTGCTTCACACAGGCACAAGTCAAACACTCTCATTTTCTTCTGCATTTAATTCTCCTGTTAATAGCTTTATCATTTTTATTAGATTTACATTTCCTATGAACCACTAGATTTTGCCTCCTACATATATCGGATACAAAACTAGATTTTAGTCTAATTTTCTTGAAACAACAGATTTATCATATAACATATCTACTACATAAGTATAAAGAAGTTTACAAAAAAAAAAAAAAAAAAAAGTATAAAGAAGGCTTAGAAGCTATGAGAATACATAATACATATCAAATGTTAGTTTAACATAACAACTAATAATTGTGATAATACTTCATGCATGATCAGTAAAATAATCTATCTTTTATACGTATAAATTAAAAGATTGAATTACTCTATATAGTTAATGAGGAGAAATGCGTGTGCTACCTACTGATTGAAATTTATGGAAACATAAAATCTGAAACCTAACCACATCAATATCAATTAAGTGGCATGAATTTGTATAACCAAATGAGCGAGCCACAATATAAAAAAAAACCAACGTTACATTAATAAAGATGATGTATACGTTTTGAGTTTCTACTACATAGAAGATATCATCTCCACGTCGACAAAGAAAGAAAAAAAAAAAAGAAGATAACATCTCCACAGAAAAAAATAGAGAACATCGTGTTAAAACTTAAAAGTCACTACTACTCATGACTAAAATCCCTAATTACTGCAATATGAGACATAATTAAGGATTAAAACAAAACTAAAGAGTACTTAATTATTACACAACTTGTTTATAACTAAGCCTCGTCGTTTCTCAAGTAAATCGTCAATCTTTTTTTTTTTGCTTTCTTTCTAGAACAACACTTCTTGACCCTCTAATGACATGTTATTAATGATCATATCGTGACTTTGCTCATCAAAGAGCCATTTCTCGAACAAAGAAAGAGAGCCTTGTGTAATTAGACCATTAATGTCATGGTCTATTACTTTAGGCTTCTCTTCAGCTTCATCCATGGAGTTGAAGCTGAATAAAGAATGGTCAATCCCTTCTCCTTCTCCTTCCGTTGTGCTAGGGCTCGAAGCTGCCGTGGTAATAGCCATCTCTGTGGCTGCAACTGGTGAGGGCACCGAGGTCTTTGGTGTGTCTTTCATGAAGTTCTGAAGCAAACGAGCGATGTTCTCAGCACTTGAAGCATAAACTCCAGATGGGTATGGATTAGTACTTTTCGTGGTGGTGGTGGTGGTAGAGGAAGAAGAAGATGATGGACCATAACCAAGATCGGTTATAGAGAAATTAGTCTGGCTTTGTGGTTTGTCAAGAGACAAAGCATCACAAAGAGCTTGTTTAGCCATGTTGATATCTGTCTGAAGCCTTCTCTCCCATTGACCTTTGCTGGAGCTGTTACTTTGATTTGAAGTAGTGTTCTTGTTTGGTGAAGAAAGTTCTTTGCTATCAACTCCATTATTGATAGTACTGTCACAAGAATCATTCATCTTCTTGAGCTTTTTCTTCAAATGAGTGTTCCAATAGTTCTTTATATCATTGTCTGTCCTTTCTGGAAGGTATGATGCAATAGCTGCCCACCTTCATAAATATTTTGGTCCCAAAGAGTTATTTAAAGTTCAAAACCTTATCTCTATACATACCCAAAAAAAAAAGGGTTCTCATATAGATCATGTGCATGTGAACATGTATGAATCTTTTTTACCTGTTTCCCAAAAGAGCTTGAAGATGTAGAATCATCTTCTCTTCATGCTGAGTGAAGTTACCACGCTTAATCCCAGGTCGAAGATAATTAGTCCACCTTAATCTACAGCTTTTGCTACATCTCCTCAAACCTAATTCACCACAACAATAAATAAAATTCATTAATAAGAGTAATTTAATTTGTTATGTGTGGACAAAAAAGCAGGTGACATAAATCGGATATTATTACAATTTTCTCTTTTCATTAAATGATCATACCTACCAAATTGAAGCCAGACCAAAAGAATCACAAACCCAAGAAAAAACAGAAAACATTAAAGGGTAGTTCTGAAAGAGTATAGGGGTTAACAATGGAAATTAAAATAATATTTTCATCACAAAAACAAAACAAAAATTCATACATAAGATCAAGTTAGGAGAAGAGACCAAACCTGTGTGAGTAGGAACAGATCTCCAGTTTCCAGGACCATGTTCTTGGATGTAAGAAACCAAGATGATATCTTCCTCTGGTGTCCATGGCCCTTTCTTCACTCCAATCTTGTCACAACACGGTGGTCTTCCCATCTCAATCTCTTCTATATATCACCTGGAACGGTTTGTGGTATGAGTAGAGAGAAGGGCTTAGATGATGAATCAGATGTATATATATAGACAAAGAAAGAAGTTAATCCTTTGAGAAGCTTAGGGAAATTGTAGGGTTAGAGAGTAGTTAAGACAAAGAGGGGTACAAGTGGTGTGGTTGTGTCTGTCTGAAGATGTTGAGAGAGAGCTTGCGTATATTTATAGAGAGAGTTAAGCACTTAAGCTGATGAGTGAATTAGTAAGCAATAATAATAGAGTTAAAAAAAAAAAAGTTAAACAATAATGAAGAGTGGGGTTTTACTTTCAAAGAGTCAACATGGACAGCCAAATGCATTTACTCTCTGGCTCTCCAAAGTCAGCCTCCTCCTCTCTCCCTCTCTCTCTCTCTCGCCACCATTACTCCATGCTTTCTCTCTCTAACACACTATTAGCTTTCATTTTTCTATATAGCTAGTCCTTTCATATTATCGCAAAATAACTCTTAGTTTTGTCTCCACTTGAGAACGTATGTATAATTTTTGTATGTGTTCAATCTGATTGGACTTTGATCGTATCAATGAATTGACAATGAAATGAGAGTTGATTTTATATAGTTAAGATTGAAGAATATAACTTCTATTATTGTATCTAAAACATTTCTAGTTACACATTAGGAAAGCATATATATATATATATATACAAATTAACAGTCTAAAAATGAGTTTTTACGTGAATCTGTAAATTGTGTTTTTCACTTGCATGCATATAACCATGTCATTCCTCCACAAAACTACTAGACAGGTTTAAAAACTAGAATTTCTAGTTATTAATCAAATTAAATACAGACATCAAAAGACACCGTTTATATAATAACTAGCAAAATTGATTATACAAGAAAAGTAGCTAAACTTGATGAGTTGATGAAAATTTTAGACGAAACATGTAAAAATGTTCATTAGTGATGTGTGCTTTAAGTAGGTATTGAAATATTGAACGGTTGATAAAACATAATTGTAACACATATCCCCACATTCCCAGTAAGGAAATTGTCCACACATATAAATCTTCTGGTGATGCTGAACCTGTTTGTCATATTTAGGTCGATATTTTTTTTTTTTTTTTTGGGTTACAATGAAATCGGGATTTGTTTTGTTTACACTAAGATTTGGTTTTAAAATCACTTGAAGGAATTCAAAAGAAAATTACTAGAAACGAGAGGAATGTTGCAAAGCGCGTCGTCGTTGTGTATTGAGCTTTTAAATTGGATATGAAATAGTATTATTATACTATACTTATCTAAATAATACGATAATAATATAAAGTTTTTTTTTAACACAAATTATAACGAAAGGATACAAATTCAACGGGCCGTGGAAACATCATTGAACAAAACAGGTTGAAACCCCATACGCCACGTCTCTTTGTTATACGTAACCCATATCTCGAGGACAATAGTATTAACTTTACTTTGACTAAAATCGTCACATAGATACCTATAAATTATTCTTATTTTTTTTCATAATTACAAATCTTAATATTGTATACTCCCGTATTATCAGAATTCGAATATGTGTATATTTCAAATTTTATATATTTACGTTGTTGGTATCGTTTATCAAACTGATAAAAATTCAATTGAAAACATGTTCGTACGTGATCTTTATATATAAGAAAATTTACATTATATATCCTATACATTTCTAAGTTTCTAAATGTTTATGGATGAAGATATTGATTACTTGTTCTCCCTATTTTTTTTTTCAACAAAATTTTTTTTTACTGATTACGAATTACTAGAATCACGATACAATTGATCTTTTAATTAATCATATTGACGAACAAACACTTTCACATAGGTAATTATAGTCAATACAACCTAATTTAACCAGAAGATTGGCTGTTTCATTACAAAATCTATTCGAAAAAGTAAATAAAATTTTGTGAAAATATTTTGCCATACGCATGTCTATCAAAACAAAGCAATCACTTGCAGTATATGTCTCTGAATCTCTTGAGCTAGACTTGTTGCATTGTCGCTAATAATGTTTTAGCTTCACCTAAGGAGAAACTGATGTGGTGAGAGAAAAAGCTCCCCAACACATAGCTTTGTTCGTATGATCCTGTACTATCTATCCACCTTTGGTTTGTTGAGTCATTGGATCATAACTTGCATCGACATTACATTTTTCAAAAAGTTTCGCTGGACGTCTCCAACTCGCCGTAGAAGCCATATGTAAGACAATCTTCTCTCTGTACGTATCACTTCGGTTAATATACATATGTGATTTTCTAATTCAATTCATTGACAGATATGTTGACATAACCAAAAATTTACTCCTACAATAGCATAGTTAATAAGCCTCTATTCATTTTACGTACTACTAATTAAATGGTATAAACTAAAAAAAAAAGATATTTCTTGGAAACAAAATCATTTAAAAAAAAAACCAATTAAACGAAAATTATAAAACCAGAAATTTGTTGTGAAACAAATGGAGTCTATGTTAGTCAAAATTTTTTAAAAAAAAAACAAAACAAAACAAAACAAAATGTACAAAACTTAAAGGTTTTTCAATCTTTTATATGGTCAATACTCCATGTACACAAAATTTTCATAAATTATAGAGTACATTTTGCCAATAACTAATATTTTTTGTCATCTATCACAAACTATTTTTTGACTTTGCATGTTTAGTAGTATTATTAATTAAGTGCATCTTCAAGGCCTAGCTAACTAGGGTTTCGTTTGTTTCTCTCGATCAAAATTTTGTAAGTTCTCCGATGTTTCCTACAGTTTCTACTAGAATATTTTTATTTGCGAGTGAGTATAAGTCAACGACTATGGTCGTCTTTTGGATCTCGACGTGCTTTGGATGATCATATCTTAATTTATACACTATTGCATTTTAAATATTGTGTAGGTTAAAAACCTAGGCTTAATATTTTACCTCCACAAACGGTTAAATGGGAATGCGAGACACGTGTCAAATTGTGCAGAAAATAATACAAGCTGCAGAAAAATAATAAATCAAGTAAGAGTCATTGGACTCACCCATTAAATGGTGTGCATGATAGAATGATAAAGAATTATATACTATAACCATATAGGTTTTTGTGTAATCCAAGCTGATGTAATTGTCACGGAACATAACCTAAGGTTCCTTGGTGAAATCTTCTGCGGTAATTTGGGTAGAGTTTTGACATTTTTTCAACACTGATTAGTGATGATGTCGAGACAAAACTTTATAATATATATAGATTGGTCTAACTATCAGCCAAATACAAAATTCGAGACAAAACAATTTATTGTAGAAGTGAAACCGAGTATCACCAGAAAAATATAGTTTACTATAAGAAAATATAGCTAATTTTGATCAATTTATTAAGAGGAAATACGTCGGAGTTACGGATTTTTTTTAAAAACAGTAATTTATGTTAGTACTATTGTATCAGTATCACCATTCAAATTTAAGTTTATGTAATGTATAAAGTTTTTGAGAATTAAGTTTATGGAATGTATAAATTTAAGTTAAATCAAAAAATAAATTTCTTAAAAAATGATACTATAATTTCTTTTCTTTTTTTTTCTTTTGGTCATAATATAGTTGTTTATACTTAGTTATAGGTCAAACTCTTATACATTGATCAATCTGCAAACGATATCATATATAATGTATTTATTACAATGAAACTTTGAATCCGGCCGGTTACATCTCTAAACCCATGATCATGAGCAGATCATATATATAATAGTCCATGTTGTCATAATCAATTGAGATAATCTTTTAGTTTTAAGGAACTTTTTCTAGATATAAGTATTTGTCCAATCCAACTTGCAATCTATCTATTGTTTTGAGGTAGTTTTAAGTCAAAATCATTAAAGGCAAAGATATTTAGGATATTCAAACTGTGATCTCCTTAGATGCCTAAGCTAGTTAATAATAATTTACATGCTATGCACGAATTATTATCATAGTTATTTCTAACTTGATATTTTAAAATTCGAGATTTACAAATAGGTAAAACCTATTAAACATTGTGATTGGTGACTTAGCAAATGCTTTCTTCCGGAATCAAGTGAGCTGTTCCTTCTAGCCCACTTGCTAATGAAATTTGGCTTTACATGTTATAAATATAACTTCCAGTAAAAACAAAAACAAAAACTTACCCATTCATTCATATTCATTTAATTTAATTTTGAGTAGTTATTGACTTACTCAATTCGTTGGCATTGACGCGTTATGTTTACATTTTCACTTAATTACGCCTATTAATAAAGCCTTAAAGTCGGTTCATAAATTTTTAAAAGTGTATGTTATCAAAAATTGAATATAATGTTATTAATGTATATAATTAACTGAAACGATTTATCACTGGTAACATATTCATGGACTATTATAAGATTATCACATATAAATGTAAATAAGAACAAAAAAAATTGGATCACAAATCTAAACTTGAACATAATATAATCCAAAAATTTCGATAAACAAACAGATTATTACAAAAATTACAAACTGTTATTATTGCAAGTTGATTATGGGGTTATAAAAAGAGAAAAGAAAATAACTCATCAAGTAAATATAATTTGGTGATCAAGAGAAAGAGAGTAGATTAATCTAAGTTGGTGAGTAGTCTAGTTTTTAGTTTTAATGTCAATAGTTTTAGTTAGTTCTCAATTTTAAATGATCCCACAAAACACAATTATCCAAAGTGAAAAATTGTCACGTTACGTTGTCTCAGTACCAAAAGGTCCGACATGCATGTGTACTTACAATAATAATACATACAAAGTTGTGTGTATGCCTGAGGCGGCCAAGATAATTTGTATCTTGCCTAACCAAGACAGCCTTGTGAACTTGAAAGCGTAACTTGAATCCTCGACCTTTGGATATATATAAACACTCTTTAATCAAAACTAACTTTGCTATTAAAGCTTGGTTATTTTTGATTTTAAATCTTAGTCCGAACAGTACATTTTCAGGAAGAACGGTCACACCAAAAACCATATCGGCAAACTTATCTCTAAAATTAGAATGTTGCTAAAACTTTGATAAAATATCAACGATAAGAAAAAATTATTTCTTGCGTTCGTGTCTCATCACTGTCGGTATGATTTGTAACTTCTCGTAGTAGATTGACCAATCAAATATTTCTTGTCTTTATTTTTCTCGAAATAATAATATTATTGTTATCTTTTGTTGGCGTCTTCATATAAATGCGTATGAAGTTGAATTTTCAAAATTTGTGGAACAAAACAAAGACACCACTCACATCAGAATTCTATTTCTTCGGGTCACTATATGGGTCGAATAGACCAGGTTTCAATTATTTCGTCGAGTTCATACTAATTTGTTTTTTAATATTCTTTTGTTAATTTTTTGCTTTAGTTAATCTCTTTCGTGGTTT